TTCTCGGCCAATGCAGGGATCGAACACCCGATCTCCAGGCTAGCAAGCCAGCGTCATACCTACTTAGCCACGGTGACCCACCATTAATGTTTCCATAGGGTAGTATAGACAAATATGGGTTCGATTTTGGCACTTATCTCACGATAACATTTTGGATTATAGCTCCTGATCGTACGAAAATCGCACAAATAGCTTGTGGGTCACAATTTTTATTTGATTTATTTTAAAACTAAAATTGTATGTTATATCCGAAGGAACTCAAACAGGTTCAATTTTGGCACATATTGGACCGTAATTTCCTGGATTTTAGACCCCGAAGAGATCATAATTTTGATTCTTTTTCGAAAACATTGTGAACGCGATATAGGCTATAGTTTTTAACAGATTTTTTTTTTATCCAATTAGGTTATGGCCCCTTACCCGAAAACCCCTTCAATATTCAACCTTCTGTAAAATATAAAATATTGTTTATAAACCAAAACAAACACAATAAAAGCTTAGAATAATTTACTTTTGCACGTAAAATACTTTATTTTTTCTTTTAGTGAAAATAATAGCCTAATTTTTATTTTTAAAATTGTCGAGAATGACTTACTTTTGTACCTATGTTTAAAAGCAAAATTGTCGTGTTTTTGGGTTACATAAAAAGGCACAACTTCACATGTCCTCAATGGATCACCATATAATAATCAGCGCCACCTGTTACCATAATGAGAGTTAGAATTATGACTTATCATAACGGGTTAAAAGGGAGTCATAATTTTAACGCACATTATGCTAACAGATGGCGCTGTTTATTATATGATGGCTCATTGGGGACATGTAAAATCTCGCCCTTTTCATTACGGGCCTGCCGTCAGACATGACATTTTTCTGTCAAAAATACTAAAATATTTTACGTACAAAAGCAAATTATTCTAGATATTTTTCAGATGAATAAATAGGCTACTTTGTCGTGCATTTGCCCTAATACGGCCTTATCGATTGATTTAGCCTCTTTTTTTTTTGCAAAAGTTATTTTGTGTGTTTGTTTTGGTTTATAAACAATATCTTACTTTATTTTAGATTGAATTGAGAAACGGGAAATGATAATTCAGATTTAAAACAATGCAAAGCTCCCCCCCCCCCCCCACACACCAACCCAAATTCGTTTGGCCTTTATCCAATTAGTTATGACACCAAGCTTTGGAATGAGATTAAAACGATCAATTCAAGTGGCTAATCCGATGATTGGAAATTTAACATGCAAGAGCTTAATCTGCCTATTGCAGGTCTTTCTTTAGGTCTGAAATGTTATCTAAATTATTAATTAGCCATTAATTAACTTATCCAGACCATAATCAACTGTCGATGTCATCGCTAGCCTGCGATGTTTACTGGATTAGGATCTGATCTGCTGCTCAACGCTCATTCATGATTAAATCAAAAAATGGATAATCGAGATTATGGGTTTTTATTTTCGTACTGACTTTAGTAATGATGATCGAAGCTAGGCCCAAATTCAATCGCTAAATTATCGGTTCAGAGGGGAACTGAAATTTTCTGCAAATTCTTTTTACATTAGTCAGCTCCTTGGGCCTATCTATTCTCCCATAATTTATCTTTAAATTAACTGTGCTAATCAAGACGGGAATATACCATGAAGTGTGCAGTGTGAGGTGATTTTGAACGGACAGCGGCGCTACGGCCTACTTTTATTTCAAATCCCAACGTCCAGGGTTCTTTAACGTGCACACTATTAGAACGACTAGACAGTGATCCTTGTCAGGAACCCAGTCTTGCACCACTGAAAAGGGGAAATCACGCCGAAAAACCCGTAGAACTTTCTCTTCCAACACCGGGAGCGAACCCGAGACCGAGTCAGGGACATACTAACCGAGCCACCGCTCGCTAAAATAATATCAAAAATACTTTACTTGTGTGCGAAAAATATTTCATAAGTTTGAGGGGGAAAAGATACGCTAAACTTATCATTACCATTCACTGTATGACGTAATGAGTTCTTTCTATATATTTTATTTTTCTTTTAGAAACAAAATATGCCAAATCGATATAGCAGTATATTGGAAAATGCACGACAGGGAAGCCTATTTAAAAATATATTCTAAAAATATCTATAACAGTTTGCTTTTGTACATAAAATATTTTATGATTTTTATCTGTCGGGTTATGAAAAAGGCGAGATTTTACATGTCCCTAATCAGCCTCCATACAATAAATAGCGTCATCTGTTACCAAAATGAGCTTAGAATTATGACCGCTTTACCGCGAAACATTTGTGAAATGTCAAAATGTTAACGAAACTATACACACTACAATAAATTAAATGTAATAATGGAAATAGAACAAAATACAAATTCTAACTGCAATATTTAAAAAATAAGTTATATAAATTAGCACTTTTACATGTGTAAATAGCCAATTTAACATGTGTTAGTAAGAACTTTCATGTATAGAAGTAAGCATATTAGCATACGCATTACTAGGTTAGAAGTTAGAATTATGGGGGAAATTCCGCTCCATAGGATTAGGTCTAATCAAACGAAACACTGCGAGCAGTATGCTACAATAGTGACCTTACGCGCATATGCTATTTGTTTTTGTCTCTTTGAAATATCACTTGATTCGTTTGTCAAGTATAGACAGATGTACATGACTACTATATAAAATACACTATTTAGTTTTTACGATTTGCTGTTCAAAAATTCATCATCCTTCTACTAAATTAATTATATTGACCAAGAACAGCTCTTTTGGCATTTACATTAAATTAAACTTTTCAAACTTCACCGTTTAAAAATTTTTAACGGTGTAATTGTGAGCGAAGTGTTCATAATTAGATACTAATTAGTTAGATAGATAGATGATTAGATAGATAGATTGTAAAGTATAGCGATATTTTTTAATTTGAAATACTTATTGGTAATAAGTATTTGTAGTTTTGATAATGGAACATTTTTAAAACGTGAATTATTTGATAAAAGTATATAATGCCTTTATATTTATTTGTTTATTTCTATTATGGCTTGTTCTTTGTGGAACTGAAACCCACGTTAGTTTGGTTCCCAGTGCCCTGTTACACTTTTCATTGTGTAAATAAAGTGGGTTTTTTTTCGTCATTTTTGGACAAAAATGGAGATTATTTACTACTTAACAGGTTCGAGTGCCACCAAATTTTTTTCTTGATCTTAATACTATGGACCATTGCCTTTTCAGTCAGCATTCCCAAAAAAATTCTTACACCTGCAGTTGGTGAGATATAGATAGAATAAAATGACATACCTAAATTGAGCTATTCTGGTACCTTGCAGGCTAAGTCCCTATACCAAAAACCTCTTGATGAAAGTCTATCAAACTTTCAGAATGTATACTCACTAACCATATCTACTACCCTATTAAGTTTCATTAATCTAGTCCCCGTAGTTTAGTTGTACCCCAATTGAAAAATGTCCTGAAAATGACATTTTTTTGGCTTTTTTTGGTCTTAAAATTTAAAAAAAAATTGTGGCAGTGTGGTTGGGAGGGGTGACTCATCATACATAAAACCAGCGGCTGCCAGGCAGGATACGCCCACATTTTGCAAGAGATGGATAGAGAACAAGCTAAAAACAAACAGGATTTTTTGAACAATCAGGGGCAATAATCAAGAAAGTTATGGTCTGAAATGCCCAAATATCAAACGGGACTGAGATCTTTGGGATATAAAGATATGTTTAAAGTTTCAACAAAATCAGATAAAAATTGTGACCTCTAGAGGGTCCACAACCTTCGTAGCATACTTTTACACAATTTGCGTACAAAGTGCGGCCATTTTGTCGGGCAGTTTCATTTCGATTTTCCCGAAATTCGGTTCAACCTTCGTTATGGTGGAATGGTGATATATTTAAAGGGTTTTTAAAATCGGAAAAAAAAATTGTGACCTCTAGAGAATCTGCATGCTAAAAATGCGATTTTTCAAACAATCTGGAGCCATAATCCAGGAAGTTACGGTGTAACGGTGATATATTCGAACGTTTTTTTAAATCGGATAATAATTGTGACCTCTAGAGGGACCACAGGCTAAAAACGCGATTTTTTGTACATTCAAGGGCCATAATTCAGGAAGATACAATCCGATATGTGCGAATATCGAAAGGAACCAAGATCTTAGGTTATAAACATGTATTTCAACTTTCATCAAAATCGGATCAAAATTGTGACCTCTATAGAGGGTCCAAAACCTTGATTTAGCAGATGTTTACACCATATGCGTACGAGGGGCGGCCATTTTGTCCAGCAGTTTTGGCCCGATTTTCACGAAATTTGAAGTCAACAGACAGTATGGAGTAACAGTGATATATTCGAAAGTTTTTTTTAAGTCGAATAATAATTGTGACCTCTAGAGGGACCACAAGCTAAAAACACGATTTTTGTACAATCAAGGGCCATAATCCATGAAGTTACAGTCCGATACATGCCAATATTGAAAGGAACCAAAACCTTAGGGTGATAAACCTATATTTCACGTTTCATTGAAATCGGATAAAAATTGTGACCTGTATAGTGTTCACAAACAATTGTAGATGGACGGACGGACAGGGGCGACGACAATATACGTCCACATGAAAATGTGGGCGTATAAAAATGGTGAAAATCGGTCATCCACTGCATGTGCCGGTCCCTGCATGGTTCTCTCGCAAACGCATTCTTAAACACTGTGTATAAATTTAAAGTCAATCGGATATTAACTTAGCCTGTAGAGCATCTACAAGATATTTTTTGAAGTGATCAAGAGCCATAACTCTGGCAGTAATTATCAGAAATCAATAAAAATCAATAGGATTCTTTATATCATGACCTCACACCGGACCACCAGATGGGGGTGACAACAATATACGATCACATTTCCATGTGAGCTTATAAAAACCAAACTTAAGACTGATTGTCTAAGGTCATGAAATTAAGGTGTATGCCACAGGTTTATTTATTTAACCTCACCTTTTAGCAACAAATAACTCTGGTTATGATCAACAACATATTTATTTACATAGGATTGGCTAGAAACAGTAACAATGACTGCTTTTACATATTTATTCTGCTAAATATTTGGGAGATGACAAGAGATTTTTTATCCGTCCTAGTACCAATTAGTAGTAAACATGGTAAAAATGACCTTATAATCAATTTAATTCTAATCAGTATTATTTTATACAAATATTACCTTGAATTATTTATAAACTCAAGTTTACATTCACCTTATTTTAGTCGAGGCCTGTATCTTCCTCTGACATTTTCTAAAACTAGTTGGTATTTTAAAAGATAATGAACAAAATTTCAACAATTTCTTAAAACCTACTAGGAGAATAAGATATTCATGTTTTTTTAAGAGCATGCATGTAAGAAAAGATAACACTAGTTTTATAATAAAAATATTTGCATATTTATCAAAAACCTATACACATATACATTATTAACCAAATTTATAAAGAATATAAAACAGTTTACAAGTCTATCATGCGTGGTTTGGAAGATGTAGGATTTTCTAATTTCTGAAGCAACACTTGGGCTCCCTTGAAATTCAATTTGCGTAAGGATTTTTTTATAGGTATCAACTGTTGTGTGACTGCCTCTGTGACTTCTGCACATTCTAATTCAATCAAACTGAAAGTATGAATAGACAAAAATAATTATTAGAAAAACATCAGATCATTTCATAGGAATTCCACTTTCATACCAATGACATGCATATAAATTAAACTACACAATGTTAAAGGAGATAAGATTTTAACTCAATATTTTCCATAATATTCGAAATTAAAAACACAAATTAGAATTCAATATTGATCAATTTTAATCAATATTGATGTTATCTTGCTGTGAAACTATCTGATCCTAATATCCAATATTTAAGAAACAATTAACATTTTATAATCAGTACCCTATGGTTTTGGGTACTATTTTGTAATAAACAAATAAAAACATATCCTACAACACAATGTAGAAGTAATTAGTAAACGCTGTTTCACAAATGCACTTAGCCCGTGTAAACGACTGCCGTTCAATTTGAATTGTTCATGTATTTCACCGAACATAACTGTTTAGAAATTATAATTTTTTTTTCTTCAAAAATTGAATATAAATCACTTTACATACATTCATATTACAGTGAAATCACTCAATTAAGACCACCTGTGGGACTGTCGAGATTTGATCTTAATAGTGGGGTGGTGTATACTGAGTGAGCATGCTTGAGCCAATTTCAAAGAAAAACAGACACAGTGTTAGGCCGTGTTGAATTGATTCCTTGTTTCTCCTCGCCCGCGCGCTTAGGTCGAGGACCCCGAAAATCGTGTGCTTACGTTTTTAACACAAAAAAAAATATTCAAAAAATTACGTTAATAACATCTAAAAAAAATTCTACCAAACATCAGAAGTCAATTCTCGTTGTTTATTCCTCGTTACGAACTAAATAAGTAAATGCAGGGGGGGGGGGCGCACTACACGCAAAACAAAAATCTACAAGATAAACCTGCGGACAAGACAGAAAATAAGCATTGCACCAAATAAACAAATATCAAATCAAGTGAATGGATCCGGTTGATAATACACATGTAGGGGCCCGCATTCTATGGAATAAGTTACACTGTATATGATTGGATGAATTCCGCAAAATGGCGCGTGTAGCAGTCATTTCGGCTAATGAGAAAGCATATTATAAACTGTAGGACAGTCGCTATTATTCAACCGGGAACCTGAATAATCAATTTTTTCATTGGCTAAAATTATAACACTTCATTATTATTCAAGTATTACCCAATCATATCTTGTGTAATAAATAACGCACGCCTTACAAAATGGTGAGCTATGCCGGGACATAGGTAAATTCGCGTACCGGTCGGCCTAATTTATTGATGTTCAAGGAAATAATAGTGGTCCCATTCGTTCAATTCTGGAGTTTAAAGAACGAATGAACGGGACCACTATTATTTCCTTGAACATCAATAAATTAACGAACGAACAGGACCACTATTATTTCCTTGAACATCAATAAATTAGGCCGACCGGTACGCGAATTTACTTATCTCGACTCGACTTTGGTGTGTATTCCCAGCACTTTCACCTTCGATGATATTGTCGAAACCATCTATAACTCAACAAGCGAATCAAATTTCGTCTAACTGGAATGTTTCCATTGTATTGTAACACAAGAATACAGAAAATTTATATCAAAATATGGTTATTTCATTTTTTAAAAAGTTAAACAAAGAAGCCAATTGTTACCAAATTTTAGTTTGTTATTAAATTTATTTAATTAAATAAATATTATCTGTGTTTTTATTCTAACCAATAATATAACTAGGTTATTTATAATATTATTAAAGATAGGTTGCCAGGCAACGAAACATACGCCCACAGCAGCTAACTCGTCCGGGCAGTCAACAAGAGTTGTCACATATTTTTACTTTTTTCGGTAATGAAACATTTATAATACATTAAAATCTGATAAGGAGTAACAACTCATTAAGTAATTATCAGAAAACCATTAGAATTTGTTTGGTTTTTATAAAGTTTTGCCCCATGCTAACGTTTAGTATAGGAAACTTTTAACATCATGGATTTAGCTGTTCAAGTCATAAAAATTCATTGAAAATCAATATACTTGTTTGTCTCAAGACCTTACACTCTGTGTATGAATCTGAAGTCAATCGGATGATAACTTTAGCTTCTAGAGGGTCACAAGGTTTTTAAAAGTGATCAAGGGCCATAACTTTGGCAGTAATTATCGGAAATCGTTGTAAATCAATATGATTCTTCGTTTCATGACCTCAAACACTCTGTATCAATTTAAAGTCAATCGGATATTAACTTTTGCCTCTAGAGCATTTACCAAATTTTTGAAGTGATCAAGGGCAATAACTCTGGCAGTAATTATCAAAAATAGCTGAAAATGAATAAACTTCTTTGTCTCATGATCTTAAACACTGTGTATAAATTTAAACTCAATCGGATATTAACTTTAGCCTCTAGAATGTCCACAAGATTTTTTAAAGTGATCAAGGGCCATAACTCTGCCAGTAATTATCGGAAATCGCTGAAAATCAATAGGCTTCTTCGTCTCATGACCTTAAACACTGTGTATAAATTTAGAGTCAATCGGATATTAACTCTGACCTCTAGAGCGTCCACAAGATTTTTTGAAGCGATCAAGGGCCATAACTCTGGCAGTAATTATCGGAAATCGCTGAAAATCAACAGGCTTCTTCGTCTCATGACCTTAAACACTGTGTATAAATTTAAAGTCAATCGGATATTAACTTTAGCCTCTAGAGCATCCACAAGCAATTGTGGACGTCGGACGGACGGACCGACGGACGGGGGTGACGACAATATACGACCACATTTCAATGTGGGCGTATAAAAATGGTACACAACCCTCAGACTATATAGGTATTATGCCAGACCACTTTGTGTTTTGAAACCCACTTTGTGTTGTGTTTACCGCACTACCGCACATGATTGCCAGAGTGGTGGCAGGAGAAACAAGGAATCAATTCAACACGGCCTTATGTAAATTATATAGACATGTAGGCCTACTTTATTGCTCTAAGATGAGATAATAATAATGTAATGTAACCAGCGGCTACAACACAGGATACGTCCACATTTTGCAAGAGATGGATAGAGAACAAGCTAAACAAAGAAATTTTCTGTACAATCAAGGGCCATAATTCAGGAAGTTACGATCCGATATGTGCGAATATCGACAGGAACCAAGATCTTTGGGTTATAAAGAGATATTTCAAGTTTCATCAAAAACGGATCCACATTATGACTTCTAGAGGGTCCACAACCTTGATATACCATATTTTTACACTTATTTACATACGAGGGGCGGCCATTTTGTCCGGCAGTTTTGGTTCGATTTTCACGAAATTCGAACTCAAGCATCATAACAGTGTAATGGTGATCTATTCAAACAGATTTTTAAATCGGATAATAATTGTGACCTCTGGAGGGACCACAAGCTAAAAACGCAATTTCTCGTACAATCAGGGGCCATAATTCAGGAAGTTACGATCCGATATGCGCAAATATTGAAGGGAACCAAGACCTTTGTTGGGTTATAAACATCCATTTTAAGTTTCATCAAAAAAATTTTTTTTTTTTTTTTTAAAGACATATTTTATTCACTATAAATGAATGGGAAATTGGGAACAGGCAAAATCCCTATGTCAGACCCCTATCCTATTTACAAATTATATACTACTAATAAAAAGCAGTATATATACAATATATACAACCCTTACTTAGTTGAATACACCTAAATTATTATAGTAAGTAATAATAATAATAATATTAATAACAACAATAATAATTTAAAATCGTTTAGTTAAATAATAATTTAAGATCGTTTGGTTAAATTGAAATATGATTGAACTGTTGTAAAGGTAAGGTTATTAATTTCGTAGAGTAGAGTTTTGCTGTTCTTTTATAAACATCAGTTAATGTAGAAATAGTCTTTCGTCAAAAAGTATTGAAGTTTTGACAGTGTAAAAGATAGTGTTCGCTATCCTCGAAAGGGTGACCACAATTGCAAGCTGGATTTTCAGAGATGTCTAAAAAACATGTGACCATTTATGTTACTGCATGAGAGTCGTAGTTTGCTGTGGATAATTTCAATTTTCCTAGAATCAATGTAGAAATGTTTTGGGGGTTTAGAGTCATGTTCGGAGACCTTTTGTTGAAAAGAGGAGAGACTTGTTGCAAGTTTTGTTGACTGGTCTAACCGGTTCCATTCCTTTATTGCGGATGGTACAAATGAGTTGGAAAATAATTTCGTTCTACACCGATATTCAGTGAAATCATTTATATTTCTAAAATTGTACGAAGATTTTCTAGAGCGTGGAAAAAGTGTAGAAAGATAATTGGGTATAGTGTTATTGAGAATTTTATAGACAAGAATAAGTTTTTGTCTTTGTCGACATTCTTTTAGAGGAATGAAACTGGTCTGTTTGTAAAGAATGTAAGCGTTATATATAGTCAGTAAGGATCTACGTTTCAAGCGATATTTCAGAGACCTCAAGCAGTTTACTAGTTTTGATACTTTTTTGCATAAATTTCCTATGTGGACATCCCAATTGCCGTTATTTTGAAACGCAAGGCCTAAATGTTTGTGGAAAGAGACTTCATTTGTTTTTACAGAATTAAAAATTAGTGGTGGCTTAGTAATTTTCGTTCTAGTGCTGATAGTCAAAGTTTCAGTTTTAAGTGGATTACAGGTAACCAGCCAGGTTTTAGCCCAGTCATTAATAGTTTCGAGATAAGTATTAAAAGTATCGGCACTTGCAATCGGGTCATCGATTTTGAGGAAGAGCGAGGTATCATCGGCAAATAATCTGACATTTGATTTAATATTCTCAACAATATCGTTGGACACCAGCAGGGATTACTTTGGCTTCAGAGGCAACTCCATTCAGTACCACTCTGTTGTCTATTTGAAAGATAATTGCCAAACCAATCTAGCAAGTCTCCCCTGATCCCAACACCACCCATTTTCCAACATAGTCCAGCGTGCCAGACACAGTCAAAAGCCTTGCTGATGTCACAGAAGACAATTCTGGTGTGTGAACGGCTATCAATGGCTTGACAAAACATGTGTGTTAATTCTATTAGTTGGTATATAGTACTGTTACCTTGAAGAAATCCGCTTTGAAACGTTAGTATTTGACAATCCCGCAAGAAGTTAAAGACATGCTTATAGATTACTTTTTCAAATACTTTAATTATAATGATTAACAATGAGACAGGTCTGTAGTTTCCCCATTCATTAGGAGATCCTTTCTTAAATATGGCCGTGACGTTGGCAAATTTCCAAATTTGGGAAACCTTTTTCGTTTCTAGAGAGAGTTTGAATAAAGTACAAAGTGGAGCGGAAATTTCAGTGGAAATGGATTTAAGTCATTTTGCACTGATGTCATAGGGACCAGATGCTTTTGATATATTCAAACTGTTGATGATATCTTTAACTTCTTGATGGGTTGGTACGATCTGCGTTAGTGAGTTCGGATTTTGTCTAATAGAGGGAAAAGCTGTGTTAGTGTCGTTTAATTTGGATTGTTCAATGAAGAAATTATTGAGTGCATTAGTTTTGTCTTTTGGTGTAAAAAGGATGTCTGTGTTCACAGCTAAGGGTGGTATATCTGTCTTGTTTGTCCCCTGGCCTTTCACAAATGAGTTAATAATTTTCCAAAAGATGTTATTTCCAAAATTTTCTGAATCATTAATATTGTTGTCAAGTTTTTCATAGTATTTAATTTTTGCAGTTCGAATAAGATTAATATATTGGTTGCGGATAGATCAGACATGTTGCCAATTCATGTCATGATTTGATTTTGTTGCTTTTTTGTGTATTCGATTTTTCTTTTGGGTAATTTCCTAATTTCTACTGTCATCCATGGTTTATCATTGGGCCGAATAGTTACAATTCGATTAGGTATGTTGACCATGGCAATTGAAATTAACTCATTGAAGCACGGTCAATGTCTTTTCCATCGATCAGATCGTACCAATTTAGTTTGTCGATGTCAATGTTATTATAGTCCCATACCGTTCTTTTTAAACATTGTGCCTTTGAAATTTTGAAAGATAAGTCGCATGGTACAGGACAATGATCACTGCAGAAATTATCAGATACGTCGCAATGTTTAGTAAATTCAGGAAAATTGGTCAAGATCAAGTCAATTAAAGAATTGTTGCCGTTTTCTTGGTATCTTGTAGGTGCTGTCACAAACTGTTCGAATCAAGTAAATTTATTACGTCATGTATTATCGAGTGTGTATTCCGCAACATGTCAATATTAAAGTCTCCTACTATTAAGCATTGAAATGAGTCAAAGATTTGATTGTCAGTTTTCCTATCAGTTTGGAGGTCAGTAGTAAGAGCCAAGTAAGAATTTTTTATTAAAAGTATTCAAATCAAGCCAAGGTGATTCGATAGAGTTGTTCTCAAGATCAGTACGACGTTTGAACGATATGGTATTACGTACATAAACAACGACCCCTCCCCCGCTGCTGTTAGGCCTATCTTTGCATACTGGTGTATAGTAACTTGGAATTAAAAGGAGGGTGTCATTTGGTATGTTTTCGTAAAGCCATGATTCAGTTATAGATATAATATCAAAGGAAGATAATTCTGCGACAATATGGTCAACTTTTTTTCTTAGGCTACGGACATTGATGTGGACAAGCGACAAGAGACTTGAAGTGGAGGACTGATTAACGGAACGACAGCCGTAAGAGATGGACGATGAAGCTAATGGAACTGGATTGGGTTCTATATTACCTGATAATAGACTTACCCTGATTTTAAAAATTATATGACTGATTAATGAGAGGTTTAAAAAAAGAAGTGTTGCTTTATTATTTTGTAAAAGTAGGTGCACAGTTCGGGTAGGATAAGATCAAAATCAGATGAAAATTGTGATCTCTAGAGTGTCCACAAGCTAAAAACGTGATTTTTCGTACAATTAGGGGCCATAATCCATGAAGTTATGGGAGATAGACCTATATTTTAAGTTTTGGCAAAATTGAATAAAAATTGTGACCTGTAGAGTGTCCACAAACAAATTGTGGACGGACAGGAGCGACGACAATATATGTCCACATATGTAGGCCTACTTTATTACTCTTTTAAAAGATGAGATAAGAATGATGTATATAAGTTCAGTTTATCACCTTTTTAACTGCAAATTAACATGCATAACAAAGTTTAGATCTATTTAGTCACAAGGACTATGTTGTTTATTACAATTTGAACTTCCAATACATTAATTATGATATTCGATTTAATTAAGATTATTTACATATTACAGAGACATAAAAAAGGAAAAAGCATAAAAAAAAGTTTGTGTTATTCTATTAGCGGTGTGTGTGTTTTCACACTCATTTTTCTCATTCTTGCATATGCATTCTTGAAAATGAATTTTACAATTCAAGAATACTAATTTAAACTATAAAACATCTGTGATGGCTCAAAAGGTGTTCATTAATTAAGTCAAATAGTGATTTATTTCGGATCACAGACTGCCGTGACACATTGATAATCACCTGGCGGTACTCTCAATATAGTTCGCATTATTCACATTTCTGCTTTATTAAAATTTATTTTAATCACAAAATAAATAATTTCTTTAAAAAATCAAAGTATCGATATAAACTATTCTTCAAGAAAAATAGAAATTGAACAAAAGCAAGGATAATTATAACAGTACCAGTTGGTTGGAAAATTGAGTGTGAAGTCACGTGATGTAAACAAAGCTACATCATTAAACAATTATTATTTTCTTTGTTTAAATTAGCACACAATGAGAAATTCCATTATCTCAAAAATGAGACAAATAAAGAAAGATCAGCAGCTCATGAAATGGCTGCGATGAAATTAATCAACCTCGACTGTTTGATTGCTTTGATCTCAGTTGTTAGATTGACTAAGGTTGTTATCGCGAGTCACAAAAACAATGAAATTCACTGTTTGGGACTAGCTTCGGGGGGCCTAATCCTTAATAGTGAGTTGCCCGTATTACTGAACACAATTTATAAGGAAAATAGAAGAAAAAAAATTGGTTCTTTTAATATGTGGTCATACTGGAGTTGGTCATTAAGCGGGATTCCACTGTACATTAAAATGTGCTTTTCGAACCATTTTTGTCTATTTCAAGGTCCTAAAAACTATAGCCATACGCCCTTTAATATCCCCGTAAATCAGAGCCTCGTTTAACATGGTGAATAGGCGGGGCCGCAGCCGCACACTGGCCAAACTGTGCCGCCTACTGAGCCAAAAAGTTGAAGACTGGGCGTCAACATACATACGTTTTGAAAATTGCTGACAAGGTTTTCCCCATGTGCCAATACTATATCTAGGTGCGTAGGTTTACAAAATCGTCTTTCTGATTGTTTTATGGGTATATTTCTGTCTGCAGGTCAACCGCAGCAGTGTTTTGATCTTGATTTTACAGGGTATTAATCAATTAATGGTTTAACAAGATGCCAAAACTAATAGTGTATCAAATCTCCGAAACTATTTTTTAAGTGCTCAGAAATTGAGTCTAAGGGAGTCAATTTTCAAAATTTTCTGGGGGAGGGCCCCCAAGAGCCCCCGCGCAGGCTCTCACCTGCGGTGTTAGCACCTATGGTGGCTGCAGATTGCCGCGCACGACTTAATCATTACACGAGGCTCTGCCGTATATGAATTAATAAATAGTGGGAGTTGATAGAAATGAAAATGAAATGGGGTTTAACGTCCTACTGTTCTGCTCCAACTGGGCTGATTAAGACAATCATACGTCATACAGTGTGCTATGAGGGAAATTTCGCCCAGGTAGTGGCACTATGGCCTACTCTTATATCAAATTCCAACTGCCAGGGGATCTTTTACATGCACGCAAATGTATACACAGGTCGTGAGAGTTGATATGACTGGAGAGGGTAAAACTATTGATTAATATATAGAAAGCAGGTGGGCTACACTAAATACATGACTTACTTAACTAATATTAAACATCCTCGGTTACATGCTGCCCATGACTTCATACTACCTTCTGGTACTTTCTCCAATAATATGGTAGAAAACAGAACTATAATATAACAAATATCTTGGTTTAAACATAAAAATAAACATCATTAAAACATCACTAACAAGCCAACAGTGAGGTTTTGAAGTATCTGGTAATGAAACTATACACAAGTTCCATCACTTCCATTAAGTTCCATCACTGCTTACCTTCAGCGGAAAATGTTAATCATGGACCTCAGTCAAGACATTCACCTAATGAACATATACACCTCAATTACGAGTTATGTTCCAAAGTCTTGACAAATCAAATTGCTTATTTCTACTTAACCTAAGCAGAAAATCCTCATTATCGAACTGAGTCAAGGTATTGATGTAATAAAACTATACACCAAGTTTCATCACTCTCACTTAATTAGAACCAAAATTATGGTGTCCCAAAGCATCAACCAATCAAATTGCTTATCTATGCTTTAGCCTAAGCAGAAAATGGCTACACCAAGTTTGAACATTCAGGCTCAATTAGGAGAGTTATTGTGTCCCAAAACGTGTGACAGACCAATTTTAATAGTCTCCTGCTTTCTTCGAAAGATGGGGGACAACTAGAATCAAACAATACATATATACTGTGAAGAAATGTGTAATTCAATGTGTGATTCATTATAAATTAAAACGTGTATGTTGGAATATGTCGAATGCAGCATTTCACCTCAGGATTGACACACAATATGCAATCTTGTCCTAACCACATAATGTATTACTGAAATATATACCTAGCTTGATGATATTTAGTCATTTACTACCATTTTATCATTGAAGAGACCATGATAAATATCAAGAGAACACATGGCAAAAATACAAATTTTAAAAATAAAATGTATTACAAACCTTCTTCACATTTTTCAAGTCGTTTTTTATCTTGATTTATCAACCGTTTAATAACAAGATGACCAACATGATGTTCTACAATATGCATTTTATCAGCACCAGTAGTAAATGGTTCAGCAGCAATATCAGCTATAGCTTCCATAGCAGCGGTACTATCAACTACAATATAGGTCAATATTACAATTGGGTCATTCCACGTCAAGTGGGTCAATTTTCAGAAATTTGGGAAATTGACACCCTCGAAAAAATCTGGAAAAAATATAGGTTATTGTACATGCAAAAACTAGAAATTGTGCAAAATTTGTGGTCTGTAGCTTGAAAACTGACTGGGATACGGGCATTTGAGTTTCATAAGTTACCGATAAGTTTTCGAAACAAAATATGTATCAATAATTTACTTGAGTTTCAGATATCTTGTTTTTACCTTTCTAGTAAAAATGCACAACCCCAATTTGGTAGCGTTAGAGAACTTTGTGTGTAGATTACGAATCTGCAATCAGAATACAGGTGACTGGTAGGGTTTGCATGGTACTTGGCCATGAAAACCGAAAACAATTTGGTGTAATTGTATATTTTCTGGATGACCTGGCGCCTGGTACGTTCGGGCATTTTTATGCGCGAACTCTTAGGGTTTTTTTTATTGGCATGCGCACAGGTACTATTTCTTTTTCTTTTAACAAGTACCCAAATCGGGGATTTCGTGCGGAGGTAGTTCGGAGGTAAACAGTCTGTGAAGTACAAAACTTGCCACTGTACCTGTGTATCGCTAATTATAAACCGAATGTGTGAAGACAGTTCATACATATCACTCAAAAATTTTTCAGTACAAACTCAGTTGATTCACGCTCGATTTGCTACTAAACAAACCCATCGGTTTATTTTCTAAACAGTGTGACCTGAAGTGACTGCGGATTTATTGACCTTGTATGAACTTATCCATAGCTATATCCTTACACTGAGAGAAATTATCTAGTCTCGGTGAAAAGAACCATGGTCATCTGGTAGAAAATTACTTTTGTATTTTTTGGAACGGAAAACAGTGTTTTTAGAAGCAAACTAACCTGCCGCACATGAGGAAGTCATTATACTAATAATAAAAGGCGAGACCTCTTTTTGCGGCGCAGGCTTATCACTGAGTAGTAAACCGTCCACAAACAATAATATAGGAAGCCTAGTGACGAGTGTAGTAATGTAAGTAGGCTATAGATTATAGGTTTGAGTCGAGATTACTCGGTTTTTGCGATAACCAATTATGTGAGAAATACCATACTGACATTCGGTTTTTAAAAGTTGTACGGCAACTAAATGCGTTTGTTAGATACTGACAGAGCAGCCCCGAGTCGAACAATCGCCGCCCGAGCTGTCTTCGTCAGCTAGTTTCACAATATCGTGCAATAGGTGTATTAATGTGATTTTTAGGTTTAACCCCGCAAACAATGCCAAAATAGTGTTTTCACTGCTTACAGAAAACTGAAATTTAAAAAAAAAATTTTTTATGAGGGTGACCCTCCCACACACCCCCTATCGAGCTGCCGCTCGGTCTGCGCAGCCTCATGCCTGGCACATACTGTCAACATTGTATATTTTTCCGTTTCCGCCCTTCCCCCCCACAATATATATTTCACGGCTACGTTGCGACGGTACCAGCATACCAAGTTGTTGACACCCATTACATCACTCCTGTCTAACAAATCATAAAGCTGTGGTGTTACGGTGGCGGCATAGTATTTCACCGTAACACCACAGCCACTCTAACCATTCATAATACATCTAACTATCCCTTTACAGCACTTCACTCCCTACACATTTCCCCTCGTCCTACTTTCCCAAACGTCAACAACACATCTCATACATCCAGTTCGCTGATTAACCCTTGTACCACGTCTACTGGATTTTGTAGTGCTCCAGGTAATGGATACAAGGTAATGGATATAGACCCATATTTTGGCCTATCCAGAAATTGCCAGTAGTACTACATAAGAAACATATGAGAACGCATCAGTCTTTACTAGATTCCCAGAAAAATTGGTCTTGAATATGGTTTGAGACACAAATTTTCGAAAATTGCCTTGTATTTTCGAGCCGAAAGAATCCGGAAGATGAGCACCTAAAATTCTGAAACTTGGTTTAATTATAGTTTGTACTAATGTCTCCATTATATATTAAAGCCATTCTTGACCCATGCATTTGTATGGGCCGTATCTCAGGAACTGTTAGTCGGATCAAGTTAAAATTAGGAATATCAGCTTTTTCAGCCATAATAAACATATAACCCAATTTTCAGCAAAATCAAAGGGGGTACGGTTTAACTCATTGGGTGATAATGACCCAAAACACAGATTTTGAACAAATTGAAAAAATATTGAGATGGCACAGGACAAGAATGGTTTTAACATATGTTATAGACATTAGTCTATAGCTCCTGGAGCACTACAAAATCTAGAAAATATACAATTACTCCAAATTTTGGGGTTTTTTTGTGACCAAGTAGTATGCGAACCCTACCACTCACCTATAATCTGACTGCAGATTCGTAATCAACACAAAAAGTTCTTTAAGACAACCAAATGTGAGCTGTATATCTTCACTAGAAAGGTAAAAACAAGATTTCTGAAACTTGAGTAAATTACTAATACATATTTTGTTTTGAAAACTCAATCGGTAACTATGAAACTCAAATGCCCGTATCTCAGTCAATTTTCAAGCTACAGTACGGCCGTCACGATGGTTTGACGGGACACGATATTACCGTGTTTTTTATCGTGGAATTCCGTGATTTACCGAGTGAACACCGAGCGAATATCGAGTGACACGATAGCACTGCCTCGGTGTTGGAAACACGGTGTGACTCGGTGTTTTAATTAAACCATGCCTCTGATCGTTTATTTTAGGATGAAGTACATGTAGAGCTATACATTGTTATTATAGATCACTTAATGTGTTGGTAGCTACGTGTGAAGATTGGCGTACGCGTTTCTTTGATCTGTTATATCATGGACCGTATATAGGGTTATATCACAGGGTAATTCTGTTATTTAAACCCGGGTATTGTCATCTTTTAAACAGAAATATGCTTATACCGATACATTATTACTTCATTAATATGTTCGACATTTGTAAGACTTGCATCGATGGACCATTACAAATTCAATCAAATTACTGAAAAATTATAACATGACACCAATATATGCTAGTCTTACCGGGGGCGTAGATTTATCCATCTAAATAGTAATTCACATACTGATAAATAATTCTGGTTTAAATCACAAATAAATTAAAAGCCTTTGTCTCCTGATATGTAATCACACAAAGTCAGAATTCACCGTCAACAAGTTTATGGAACTTTGCTGAATACATGTACATTGACACGTATCAGTCCGATAATACCTTGCTGACGTTTTCATTTCGGCACCATAGAGTCTGGTAGATGCATACTGTCAATCAAGGTTCCACAATGAGAACTGACACGTGACATGAAAGGAAATCGACTGACAGAACATAGACGCCCCTTTAACAACAAACTATTACCTTGTTGTGGTCTTGTGCTCGTGGACAATATGACTTTTATTGTTAATTGTCAGTAGTAATAATTACATATTTTCAAAAGAGATGTCGATTTCTTTTTGATTATACATGTAGCTTCAGTCCATTCAATTACCTGTATTTATTACTCAAATGGTTTCTTAATTAGCAGAATGTGAAAATAAAGAAAACAAAGTTACACTTAAAATATGACTACGGTAACCAAGAAGTTATTCGTCGCGATTTCACGGGGTTGTTAGGATTCGACCGGACCCCCACCCAATCCGCTACATGTAATACCAATTTGTAACGAGTAATTGTGATTACTCTGTTACGGTAAAACTCGTATTTTTTTTTTATAAATCGGTACAGGCTTAAGGTTCACGCATGCAGAGCGGCTTATGAACAAAATGATGTTTAGTCATTTGCAGTTGACATATTCTGCCTTACACCGGTGGAAATCATTTCATTATATTGTGCACAAACGTCATTCCTTAAATAGCCCCACGCCCCTTTAACAACTGAATTTTCTGTTAGACCATTTATTCTACACTCTTTGATGTGCTTTCTAGATTAATTAATTTCATAACTATTGAAGAGGACCAGTTGGTTGTTTATATTGTTTTATTTACCTAACGATCAACGATAAGTTCACCAATGTTTTTGTAATAAAGTAGACCCGTATTGTTTGCTGATTGACTTTATCCCATGATTTAAAAAATTGGCGATGGTTAATATTGGGTCAACAATAATTCCTTAAACTGCGCCGGAGCCCCTTTTACATAAACGGAATTCGCATTTTATAAGACGGCGATTATTCGTACATGTATGTCGGGCCAAAAGGTCATTTCTTAAATAGTACGAACCTCCCTTTAACACTCCCTTTAACAAGAGAAATTGGAATGATATGTTTCGGCATGATAAATAATGTTAAAACTAATCGTTAATCTATTTTCCGTACACGAAACTAAACAACTCCAAATATAAGGAAACATTGTCGTGAATTTTTCAGTTAGATTTTCGGCTGATGTCTTTTACCGCTTACATAATGTACATTATTAAACATTTACGCAATATGTAAAAAGTATTTACCTTACCTTTTATACTCATATTGTAGATGTTAAATATCCTTAATAATTATCACAGGCAAATATAAAAATAATACCAATCCAAATTAATATCCTTTTGCATATAAGCTTGCATATATAATCAACTTGGAATACCAAAATTTAAATCGCAACGCCTTGTGGTCTAAACGGTATCATAAATCATAAAATAAACCATAAATCAATGGACCTGTTGTAAGGTGAACACTGCATGGTTTCTGGCAACTTTGGGTCTTTGCGGCATAATGTAGTCTTAACCAATAAAAACAACAAAGTGGCTACGTGCGATTTTATTCTTTGATCTTGGATCCAAGGGACATTTCTGTTATTCAAACCAATCTGCACGAGAATGACAACATACAAGTTGACAGTTATTGATTTGGGGTTCATGTGGAATAGATTCTTCCATCGAAATACAGTTATTCTTTTCTAAAATAAAACGAGTGCCTTGGATTTTTGTGTGGATTTGATAGCGGTTATAATTAACTAATATTCTCTTACACCGGAGACTTGTGTCACGTTCATTTCATTTTTACGGTAAGTACGAACTTATGTCTGATTTGAAAGCGCTTTCGAACCCCGTTGCAAGTTCTATTTGTCTTATTTCTATTTGTAAGACCGGTAACCCAAATACCGTTATAGTTTGCAATTTAAAAGTCTATCTTTGCCGTGATTCGAGAGTAGTTCTTAACTATAAACTCATAATGTAGTAAATATGCAAAACAATTTGAACACGGCATAAATATCTAAACTGTGTAATACATGTATAGTCTTATGCATACGTGTCCTTCAAAGTGTACTAGACATGCAGCTTTACATGACTGGTTGGAAATGTAACCGCATATATCGTGCAGAATATGTGAACACGCATGTTCTACTTCTAACTATACAACGTGACCTAATGCGTCCGTATTATTAACGAAAATATTCAACATTCATAACATCGTAGCTGTATATCGTTTTGACATCGATTGTTTATGACAAATAAATACCGTTAATTTTGCATGTAAAATTACACCGAGGGCTATTGTGTAGCACGACTATCGTGGCACACGATAGCGACTGCTACACCGAGTTATTTATCGTGGCAATATCGTGGCGTTATCGTGGCAATTTTCAACAAAAAACGACACGATAATCGTGTTTCATCAAAGCGTCGCGGCGGGCGTACTGTACAGACCACAAATTTTGCACAGTTTCTAGTTTTTACATGTACAATAACATATTTTTTCAAGATTTTTTTCGAAAGGGTCAATTTCCCCATCACCCCTCTGGTCCACTTGACATGTAATGATCCAATTTTATTATATAACAAGCCAACAGTGAGGTTGATGTTCCCTGCCGCAATCTCAAAATAAATAGATGACACATTAATGAATTACACATTTGTATTTTTGAAAAGTGTCAAGCAATCAAACTGATTATCTATACTTAGTCTTATCAGAAAATGTTCACGATCGAACTCAGTCACGGTTTTGAAGTAGCTGGTAGTGAAACTATACACTAAGTTTCATTACTCTCCATAAGTTACAATCACAGTTATCTTGTCCCAAAGCATCGACCAATGAAATTGCTTAGCTTTAGCGGAAAATTTTAGTCACTGAACTTAGTCAAGACATTCACCTAATGAACATCTAGGCTAAGTTTAACCATTCTACCTCAATTAAGAGTTATGTTTCAAAGTCTTGACCAATCAAATTGCTTATCCTACTTAGCCTAAGAAGAAAACTCTCATCATTGAACTTAGTAAAGGTACTGATATAATGAATCAAAGTTATCGTGATCCAAAGTCTCAGTCAATCAATCTTTACTTAGCCTAGGCAGAAAATGCTTATCATCGAACTCAAATCTGGTCTGCCCTCTGTTTGCCCACCCACAATAATTTTAAAGATAGGTTGCCAGAAAACAAAACATACGCCCACGACAGCTAAATCGTCCGAGTGGTCGACAAGGTTTGTCGCATATTTATTCTTTTGTAGGTAATTAGGTGAATTTATTAGACAATTTCATACAGATGACATTATAATTTTCGTCGTTTGAGGATTCTAAAAACTAAAACTAGGGCTGTAACTCTGGAAGTAATCTACAGATATTGTTGAAATTCGACAGGCTTTTTCGTTTTACTAATTCAAATAATGCATATAAATTTCATACAGATCGGATGATAACTTTTGTCGTTTGAACGTTCACAAGGTTCAACAAAGTAAAACAAGGGCCATAATTCTAGAAGTAATGGACGGAAATTGCTGACATTCAATAGGCTTCTTCATTTCACTAATTTAAAAGATGCATATGAATTTCATACAGATTAGGTGATAACTTTTGTCGTTCAAGCGTTCACAAGATTCAACAAAGTGAAACAAGGGTCATAACTCTAGATGTAATTAACATAAATTTGCTGAAACTCAATAGGCTTGTTCCTGTTACTAATTTAAAATATACATATAAATTTCATACAGATCGGATAATAACTTTTGTCGTTAGAGCATTCACAAGGTACAACAAAGTGAAACAAAGGCCATAACTCTCGGCGTAATTAATGGAAATTGCTGAAATTCAATAGGCTTCTTCGTTGCACTAATTTAAATGATGCATATCAATTTTAAACAGATCGGATGATAACTGTTGTCATTAGAGCGTTCACAAGATTCAACAACTCTCGATGGCAAGCCTGCGATATTTACTGGATTAGGATCCAATTTGCTGCTCAACTTTCATTCATTTAATCATGAAATGGATAATTGAGACTAAGTTTTTTATCGTACTGACTTTAGTAATGATGATCGAGGCTAGGCCGAAAATTCAATTGCTAAATTTTTAATTCAGAGTGGATCAATTTGAGTGAAATTTTCAGCAAATTCCCTTTACATTATTTAGCTTTTTATCTAATCTCCCATAATGTATCTTTAACTGACCCACGGTGACTTTTGTCGACAACTATAACGTTACCGTTAAGTACCCACGGCGACTTTTGTCGACACAACCGGTTAGCCGAATGCAACGTTCCTAGCGTAATGAGAGTTATTTCCCCTATGAACAGACGACTTTATCTCATTTGTTTACTTCCTGTTTGACATTTTGACAGTTAAAAATCTTACTGTTTCTCCTTGAAAAATTATAATAAAAAGGTGATATGTCTAGACCTATTCGGCAAACTTCTCCTAATGACGGATTACCATCCTTATTGAATGACAATGATTCAGATTTTATCTGTAGTGTTGATTTTTACAGTTTTGCGTTCAGCCAAGAACGTAATAGAAGTAGGCTCAGTTAATCAACAAATTTCTATTAGTATTACGGTACTTAAATAAGCTTAAATTAAAAGAGATTCATGATGAATAATTTTTAGTTCACAACAGCCGAACAAAAAAATCGAAGTAACCATTATATACATGAATTTTGCATGAAATGTCTAAATTAATTTTTTGTTTAAATTTATATTTATGAAAATGGCATTAAATTTAGATTATTTCATCCATTTACATGAAAGGTCTATCTACAGTTGTTTATTAATGATATGACTTTAAAATACATATCTATATTTTAATACTATTGACCATTATGACGTGGGTTTTTATGACGTTATGACATAATTTACCTGTAACATGTATTATTATAGATAACAATTTACCTGTAATGTGTATAATTATAGATAATGTTAATAATTTACCTGTAACATGTATGATTATAGATAACAATAATTACCTGTAACATGTATAATTATAGATAATGTTAATAATAATTTAGTATTATCAAATACTAGATCTTTAACATTATCTAGAACATACTGTATTAATTTAGGTGATACTTGGTCTAGTAATTCTTTATGCCGGACACTCATATCTTTCTTACTGAAAAAAATATACAGAAAACATTATTCACATTTTATATTCAAATTAAAATTATACATCTTCAGTGGAAAAGAAAATAGGTTGCCAGGCAACAAAAAAAATGCCAACAGCAGCTAAATCGTCCAAGCGGTTGACAAGGGTTGTCACATACTTATTCCTTTGTAGGTAATTGGGGGCTTTAACAAGACAGTTCCATACAGATCAGATTATAATTTTTGTCGTTTGAGGGTTCACAAGGTTCTACAAACTGAAACAAGGGCCTCAACTCTGGAAGTAGTTTACAGAAATTGTTGAAATTTGACGGGCTTTTTTCGTTTTACAAATTTAAATAATGCATATAAATTTCATACTGATCGGATGATCACTTTGGTCATTCAAACATTCAGAAAGTAAAACAAGGGCCATAACTCTAGAAATTATTGACGGAAATTGCTGAAATTCAATAGACCTCTGTTTCACAAATTTAAATGATAAATATAAATTTCATACATATCGAATGATAACTTTCATCAATCGTGCATAACAAGGCTGAACAATGTAAAACAAGGGCCATAACTCTTAGAAGTAATTATTGTAAATTGTTAAATTTTCAATAGGCTTCGTGGTTTCACTACTTTAAATAATGCATATAAATTACACAAAAATCGGATAACTTTCATCATTGAAATTGCTGAAATTCAAATGGCACATATAAATTTCACAAAGATCGGATAATCATTGGACTCAGTCAAGACATTCACCTAATGAACGTCTACATCAAGTTTAAACATTCTACCTCAAAGTTTAACCTCATTTAGTTAACTACGGTGCATGGAACCGTACAAATCGGAAAATTCCATATTCGCTGTGAATTTCAAATGGAGTTACGATAAAAGTTGTTCTTTGTGTATAGAAATGGTCATTATTATAATATAGCTAATAATGAATATATCAACAAATGACTGGCACCATTTGTATTTCTGTACTTATAGAGAATAGGTTGGGATATCAAGTAGTACAGGGTTATCCAAATTACCGGTAAATACGCTAATCGCGTGGGTCGTCTTCATTTGTCACATGGCCTATTTAAACAAAGGACGCTTAAATGGATCTACGGCAGTGCTTCACGTTTAAAAAAAATAGAGGAGCCATAAAAAGCTCTTCTAAAATTACAACAGCTGAAAATCGCTCCTGCAAAAATAGCACTTCTGAACTCTAATCCATTTTTTAGAAGGACCATTCATGTATTTCATACTATATTTTGACAATAGATGAAGCAATTTATTGACCATTCATATTTAGAAAATGTTTCGATATTTATTAGAATAAATAAAAAGAAAAATGAAATTTCAGTATCAATCTTTCACTCCTATACTGACTTGATGAAAACCATAAAGAAAAGTCACAGAAAAAATCTTAAGTTTAACTTTGACGCCCTGATAATTTTGGCACAAAGTCTGCACCGTAACAATTCGATGTTTCCTGTTTTGTTTCCAATGAAAATATAAACATTGAAAAAATTCAGAACAATGTTCGCAAATAAAGTTTATGTATAATTACTATAGTTTACAGGACAATTTGAGAAAATTAAACAATTTGGTCAAAAAAGTATTTTATACATACATGTATATAATTTTTTGCGTAAATAAGTCGGAATGTGAGAAATGAATTCCAGGGGGCGCGATAAACTGTCCTCTGCACGTGATTAATAATAGTATAGTGTCATGTACAGGTGCAATGACGTGTTTGATATTCCATTTTATACCGATATTTTAGAATCCGAATTCTACACATTTCTCAACGGCAGTGACATAGACCTCTAAATTAAACTTAAAACATGATTTGAGACGCATGTTTTACTAAGCGGAATCCACATCAAGACTTTCAGCTAGTGCGGGGATTCGTGCAAATTTTTAGTCCTGCCGATGTCGAAGAAATTAATTACGATATTCACATGGATCAAACAAAGAATCAAAACCATTTAATCGTGTTTGTGTGCATAGATAATGTGTGACGTGGAAAATTATAAATGACAGGTCAGTTACTAAACTAAAGCGACATTTCGAGGCCTGTCTGATTAAACTCTATATTTATTTCTATTTATGTAAATTATTTTCTTTTTTGAAAACCATTAAAAAACACACACCCACACTTATTCCTATAGGCTACTTATTATAGAAAATCGTGTGAGAAGCTCGAATCGTCGATGTAACTGCGTACGTGATCAATTCAACATTTGGAAAACTGTTTTTCTTTCTTTTTTGTACGTATTTATTTTAAGGTTCAATAATTATTCTCTGATTCGACATAATCATTGTTTTGTTGGTCATATTCAACCAAGAGGAAATTTCAAAACAATGGCTGATGGTTCGCTACACAACTATTTACTGTTACTATTGGCTGACAGCATGCATGCACGAATCAAACAATCTTATTTGCATATTGCATGCTTTATAGTATAATGACTGGATCGGTAACCTCAACGACCAACATGTATTACCTTTTATTAGTGTTCTACTTGCCATTATATACAATAAAAATACGGAATATTTTCACATTAACAAAAATATTTATTTGACGCATCATATGTTTCCACTAATTTCCAGCACCCAGAATCAAATTTAGCGATATTTTCCTGTGGGCCAGAAACACAATTCCCATTAGACAATTATTCGAGGATTGGTAACATGGGCTTTATTTGCAGTTTGGGGTTCGTTTTTTGACAAATGTAAAATATGACGAGAGCGATTTTATCCTTGGAGGAGAGCGATAAAAAGCTCTTCTATTTTGACGTTTGCGCGAGCCGAGAAGAGCGAGAGCGATCGCTCGCGTCAAACGTGAAGCACTGCTACGGCATGATACGGTATTTTAAATTCACTCTAAAATATTCCAATCACAAACGTCTAATCTATAACAATGTAAGACAATAATTTTGTTATTATGATTAGACCAGTCCCGTGGTAACTGGACCGTCAATAGACCCTTGTCAACTGGTGGTGTGTATTGATAGTGCTATATTGTTCAAACAGTGATATATTGTATAGATAATGCATATACTATGTGTAGTGCCTGTGACGTCCCCAGCCAATCAACCGGATTAAGGTCGTAATTGAAAAATTGAAAAGAGTTTTGGCGTGTTGGATACTTAAACGTTAACAGCCAAATTAATTTTAATCAGATTGGTGTGAACTTTCTGTAAAGTGGATATAGTAACTATTGGCTATACGTACACAAAATTTAGATTTCTCGTCTGATGTGGTCTTTAAATAATGCATATAAATTTCAGAAAGATTGGACGATAACACGATTCAATAAAGTGAAACAAGGGCCATAACTCTAGACGTAATAAACGGAAATTGCTGAAATTCAATATGCTTCTTCGTTTCACTAATTCAAATAATGCATATGAATTTCACAAAGATCAGATGATAACTTTTGGTGTAATAGTGTTCACAAGGTTCAACAAAGTGAAACAAGGGCCATAACTCTAGACATAATAAATATAAATTGTTGAAATCAAATAAGCTTCTTCGTCTCACTAATGTAAACCACATATATCAATTTTAAAACAATCGGATAATAACTTTTGGAGTTAGAGCGCTCACAAGAAATTGTGGACGACGGACGGGCGGCAATATATGTCCACATTTCCATGTGGGCGTATAAAAAGGCATTACTTATAATTTAATACTGTGAAATCCATTATTATTAGCTTTATTATAATCTGACCACGCTAGCAAATTGTTGACTGATGGCAATGTCAATATGGCCATACAAATAGTTTGTTTACATTACCTTGTAAGATTTTTATCACCCAGTTCTAGTATATGTCGAACATCAGGATGAAAGTGAACAGGGTCTCTTGGTTCCAGAATATAAAATAAGACTTTTCTACCATACTGATCATCTGCTATTTCACTTAATGATTGGAGTATTTCCTATACACAAATATAACACGGAATTTAATATAAAGTTTTTGCCATATACAAAGTTAAGTTGCATGGCAGCTGAATCACAGGATAAGTCATCTAATAAGTAGTCCACAAAAGCTGCCACACATTTATTCTTTTGGTAGTAATGGTAATATTCACAAGACATTAAGATTGTCAGGCAATAAGATATATGCTCACAGCAGTTAAGTTGTTTGTGCAATCGACAAAGGATGTCACATATTTATTTGAGCAGTCGACAAAGGATGTCACATATTTACTCTTTTGTAAATAATAAGACATTTAAATGACACTCAAAACTGATCAAGAGTAACAACCCATAAAGTAATTATCAGAAATGATTAAAATTTGATTGGCTTCTGGTTCTTCCTTGTGCTAACATTTATCATATACCAACGGCTGCCAGGCAGGATACACCCACATTTTGCAATCGATGGATAGAGAACAAGCTTAAAACAAAAGTGATTTTTTGTACAATCAGGGGCAATAATCCAGAAAGTTATGGTCTGAAATGCGCAAATATCAAAAGAGACTGAGATCTTTGGGATATAAAGATAAGTTTTAAGTTTCATCAGAATCGGATAAAAATTGTGACCTCTAGAGGATCCACAACCTTCGTATTGCATACTTTTACACAACTTGCGTACAAAGAGCGGCCATTTTTTCGGGCAGTTTCAATCTTAATTTAAACAGTTTTTGAAATCAGAAAAAAAAATATCTGATTTTTAAACAATCAGGAGCCATAATCCAGGAAGTTACTTTCAAATATACGTGATTATCAAAAGAACCAAGATCTTAGTGTGTAATGGTGATATATTCACATGTTTTTTTAAATCGGATAAAAATTGTGACCTCTACATGGACGGCAAGCTAAAAATGTGATGTTTTGTATATTCAATCAAGGGCTATAATTCAGGAAGTTTCGATCCGATATGCGCGATTATCGAATGAATTAAGATCTTTGCGTTATAAACATGTATTCCAACTCATCAAAATCGGATCAAAATTGTGACCTGTAGAGAGTCCACAAGTTTGATATACCAGATGCTATACACTATTTGCGTACGAGGGGCAGCCATTTTGTCCGGCAGTTTTAGCCCGATTTTCACAAAATTCGAACTCAATAAACATTACGGTGTAACAGCGATATATTCGAACGTTTTTTTTAAATCGGATAATAATTGTGACCTCTAGAGGAACCACCAGCTAAAAACATGATTTTTCATACAATCAGGAGCCATAATTCAGGAAGTTACTACCCGATTTTTGGGTTATAAACATGCATTTCAAGTTTCATCAAAATCAGATCAAAATTGTGACCTCTAGAGGGTCCAAAACTTTGATATACCAGATATTTACACTAATTACGGTGTAACGGTGATATATTTGAACATTTTTTTAAATCGGATAATGATTGTGACATCTAGAGGGACCTCAAGCTAAAAACGCGATTTTACATACAATCAGGGGCCATAATTCAGGAATTTACTATCTGATATGTGCGAATATCAAAGGGACAAAGATCTTTGGGTTATAAACTTATATTTCAAGTTTCATCAAAATCTGAAGAAAATTGTGACCTCTAGAGGGTCCACAACATTGATATACCATATTTTTTTACACTATTTGAGTATGAGGGGCGGCCATTTCGTCTGTCAGTTTTGGTCCGATTATTACGAAATTCAATCTCAACTATCCTTAGGGTGTAACAGTGATATATTCAAATGTTTTTTTTTAAATCGGATAAACATTATGACCGCTATAGGGTCCACAAGCTAAAAACGTGATTTTTCGTACAATCAGGGGCCATAATTCAGGAAGTTAGCCGTCCGATATGCACGAATATCGAAAGGAACCGAGATCTTTGGTTTATAAACTTACATTTCAAGTTTCATCAAAATCATAAGAAAATTGTGACCTCTAGAGAGTCCACAACCATCATATACCATATTTTTACGCTATTTGAGAACCAGGGGCGGCCATTTTCTCTGTCAGTTTTATGTTGATTTTTACAAAATTCAAACTCAACCATCCTTAGGGTGTAACGGTGATATACTAAAACGTTTTTTTTAAATCGGATAAAAATTATGATTTCTATAGGGTCCACAAGCTAAAAGTGCGATTTTTCGTACAATCAGGGGCCATAATTCAGGAAGTTATGGTGTGATATGCGCGAATATCAAAAGGAACCGATATCTTTGGGTTATGAACTTACATTTCAAGTTTCATCAAAATCAGAAGAAAATTGTGACTTCTATAGGGTCCACAAGCTAAAAACGCGATTTTTCATACAATCAGGGGTCATAATCCATGAAGTTACGGTCCGATAAATGCCAATATTGTAAGGAACCAAGATCTTAGGGAGATAAACCTTTATTTCAAGTTTTGTTGAAATCAGATAAAAATTGGGACCTGTAGAGTGTAGACAGACAGACCTGTAGACAGACAGGGGTGATGACAATATACGTCCACATGAAAAAGTGACCGTATAAAAATGTACCCATAATCTGAGAAATTTACCTGCGTATAAGTCAATCAGATGATAATCGTCAGCTCTAGAAAGACCACATGCAATAGCGGATGATGGACTGTCAGCCTGAAGGACAGACATGCCAAGGAACAAATTTTATTATACTGCAATTACTTACATCTAGAATAATTTTTTGAACTATTTTTGTATCATCAACACAATCAAATACAGCCAACATAACGAGAAAACCATACTGTTCTTTACATATCTTTAATATATGTGTTTTAAAACTCTTTAATATAACTTTACGATCCTGAAAAAAAAACCATGAACATAAAAAGAGAATATTTATAATTAAAATTCTCAATTAACAAAAGATATAATTAAAAGTTTATCAGCCATATGAAACCTAGGTGATAATTTACTGACAAATAGGTGGCTTACATATGAAAATCATAAACTTACTTTCCTGACAAAATATATCAATTGTGGTAATTGTAGTCAGTAATATCCATAATATCAGTATTACAAAACTAACCTTAGCTGTTCCGTGCCATAAACAATGCATGACAGCTCTAGCACCCTCTCTAGTATGTACCATATTAACACAACCTTCTCTTAAAGCTTCTATCATTTCCTTTAAAATAAAACATAACATCATACAATATTATAACATTCTATACTCAACTAATATAGAAATAGCTAACCTTTCCATAAGAAAACAGAACTATCAACCAGTGATGGGATTTTGCCCGTATATTCCGGACTTGTCCGGATCTTTTTCCCAAACACCCAAAATTGTCCAACCGGAAATATGCCCAATCGGACATCAAGACATGGTGAATAATATTCAAAATTCCGAAATTAATATAGTTTACTGAGTGTATAACTACCACTCAACCAGATTATCGTCGATAATACGCTGGATTGATTAGGTAATTAAGTGATCAACGTATTTATTGTGTTAAACCATCTATAAACCTACCTTGATTTACTACTTAATCTGCTTTGATTAACTGACTTAATCCTTTGTCGGACAATTCATCAATCTAATCTTAAACAGAAGCTATTGTTTCCCCTTTGTCGCACTATTCATCAATCCATTATAATTTTAATCTTCGTGTTAACCTCATGGTTTCTGCATTGTCGGACATTTTAATCGCATTGATGTGAGTCGACAATATGTATAAGCCAGTCATAGAAGTCACATATTGTAAGAGTATATAACACCCAGATCAATAGACAGTCATTATAATTCGTCTGCGATATCACTTTGGTGGAAGCGAGCGTTAAATAAAGCTATTTCACACACACATATATCCGAAAAATACTAGACATTGCTAGCACGCGGTTACAGCACTCGGCAGATTCCATTACTCTACATCTAGCTTCGGCTGTATGACAGTAAGTGATATGTACCTATCAAAATTGCGTTGTTGAAGCATGTTTACAATTTTCATAGCAAAGTTGTCCTTGTTAGAATAAAATCTGATTAAACTTGAAAGAAAAACAGCTTCAGGCGGTTAAAGTACGATAACTGAACCGGTATTAGAAAACTCGCGCGAAAGGTGAAATTATGAAATGAATATGTGACGAAATACACGCTTCTAATGTCAAGGAAAGATTCTATTTTGATGGCATATTCTCGGATTTATGATCACATTTTGAATGGGGTTTATGTTTTTAAATAAAGATAAAAGTAATCTAGGCAATGTTGACGCACATGTCGATTGGAATAGTGTAAGTACTTAATTGCTTTAGACGATAGCGCGTGCTAGAGTAGAATGCAATTATTTAGGGGATGGTGTCATTCGCTTGTTGTGGTAGAGCGACGTTTATTGCCCAAAAAATTTCGGGATATCATTTTTTTACCCTCTGTACATAAGTCGTAACGGAGTATAAGACGAATGCCAGACTTCTGAAAAATGTAGCGACTTGTGACCCGAATATGGTAATTTTGGAGGAATTTGAAACAGTCTGATCGGCAGTAGTCGGCACGCTTTCATTCTATCATATTACGAATTTTGTAGGAACATTTCTGACATAAATTTGAATACCGTACGGGAATTAAATATGAAAAATAACGAGGTGCACCTATTTTTTTTTATTACGGACGAATTTGAATATTTTGTTTACACATGATTTTTGTGTGTGGTCTAAAAACTGCCATTTTAAATAATGATAAGAGTTATGTCCCTTTATTTTCGGTAAAAATGTCCGACAAGAAAAATTTTGAAATCCCATCACTGCTATCAACAAATATAAACCTTAATTTATATAATGTATGCAATAATTATAGTATTTATATCATGTATGCAATATTTTAAAAATCTACAATAATTGATTTTTAGATAGATAAAACTTACTGTTTTCATTTTTCCTTCTGCATAATTAAAAAATTCAAAGAACAGTCTGTGTACCATAGAATGTAGTAAAACCTCTCTAAAATAGATATACACTTTTACACAATAAATTATCACAATGACTTTATTGATTAAAGATATATTTTCTTTAAAAAAAAATAGAAGTAAGAATTAACAATAATAATGTTTTGCAAAACAGGTAACATTTTCAAGTTAATGATAAATATATATCATGACTGCCTTTTTCACTTAATCAGCTTCTTCAGCTCAGGAACAAATAACAAACAAAAAAACTTGTTGAAAGACTAAGGCAACTTACTTGTCAATAAGAGATAGTAGAGTTTCTTTCATATTGCTTAATATTATTTCTTTTTTATTAGGTTGTTCCTCTATAATCTGATCTAATGATTTAGCTGTTTGGGTCTACAATAACACAAAACTCAATAAACAATACTGATTATTAACAGACAAAACATTTCTTCATATTTTCCTATAACAAAGAATGTAGGTTGTACAAGAGAAATCAGATAATTATTTAATTTCAAACAATGATATGTCATTGGTAATAAGATATGAGATTGTTGTTTGAACAAAATACAGGTAGTATCAATAATTATCTGATGTGAAACTATTCTATCTACCTGGAATAATACAAAACTTGGGCCATAGAATTCTTCTAATAAAGTTAGTTTCTGTGGTCCTGTAGCATATTCAGCAAAAACATTCTCTATAACTTCACTAGATTCCTAAATATACAATATAATAATAAATATTAGGCAACACAAATAAAATAAGTTGTTTCTCGGGCACCGCCCGCACGCAAAATTGGTTGCGCGTGCGGCCTATTTATTAGTCTTGATGAAAAATAAAAAATATGTAACGCCCGCCCGAACATCGATAAGCAAGTCATAAAAAGAATATGCCGCATGTATCTACATGCCCCATACGTGAATATCCATTCAAACGTATTAAACTGATTTAGATGCAAACGTTCATTTACGGGTCTTTTTTATTGATATCGAAAGAACCTCCATTTTTGTATCACATGATTTTAATTACCTCCCCTTGTGAACTAGAATTTGATTCGTGTTAAACACCGAAAGTCATTGACAACAATGCAATGTATTTCAATCATTCGATCTTAATCGGCTCATTATTGCCGGCTTCAGTCGGTCCATGTTTGAAAAAATCCTACTTATAAAACAATGAATCGTAGAACAGGTTAATTATTATAACTTGTGGCTACGAGTACGAATACGATACGATGATAGTCACCATACCTTAGTCAGAATCTGGGTCATTAGCACATTTAACGGTAGTTTTGATAATCCGGAAAATAATAATTGGATTACACATTTGATGGTTTTAATGACCAGTTGTTAGTTAAATTTAAATAGTCATTCGATATAAACCCCAGATAGAACACTGAATATCCTGAGAAACACACCGAATATCCTGAGAAACAGTCATTTCCCGAATCCCGATGACACGTGACATGCATTGGTTTGAATTAGGTCAATCATTATAAACCAGCGATACTAGATTTAGATCTAAGTGTCGTTTACCGTGATGATTATTTTTGATACACATGCTGACAGAGGCTTACTCTTTAAAATATTGTCGTTATTATGGACGTCTATTAATAGTCGTACGGAATTTTATTTTAAACCAATTTTAATTATGGTTGTCACCATTACATTAGTAAGCTACATTACGTGAATTAAATATGGAAAATTATTTCCTTTCAGTCAGTGTTCAGTGTTTGAGTAGACTTGATTTTTGGGTTTATGTTCTAAGTATGTATAATATATAACTGAAAGCAAAACCGTAATGACTTCCTCATTAAAAAAAAAAAAAAAATACAAGGCCGCCCTCCCGCCCCAACAATTTTCAACAACAGCCAAATTTTATTTTGCACCATCCTCTAGCCAGAAATGAGGTAAAAAAAAAAATAACCCACCCTCCCCCCCTATAGTTTCAGCTGTCAGTTGCCCGAGAAACAAGACATTTATTTTGTGTAGCCTTATGGTATATTATAACCATTACAATATATATTTACTTATAATTGACGATCAGATTACCACTATAGATTTATAAATACCTTGATTATTACTAGCAATATCTTTTAGAGGGACATGGAACTTTGGATTTTCTGGTACAGTTAAGTTGTCCTTTCAACATCTACTCAGAACATGCATACATGACGTAGCATACTGAACCGTCTTAAAAGTTATTAAAATTCCCTTCTTCAGTGGCTTATTGTTTTATTAATTATTTGTCAAACAACTATTTTCCCCAACAATAAGGATATCTAGGCTTTGTATTTGTGGCAATATCGCTATATTTATAACACCCTTAAATAATTTTGTTTGTCAATATGCTCCTTTAAACATACCTTATGTCGAATCAGTTTAACAACTTTACCATGTAACTGTTTTAGAATAAGACTTCGCTGAAATTTGTTTCTAGAAGAAAATTAAAATCTATTAAAGATACATTCCCGGGTACAAACTGGGTGATTTGAAGATATATCTGGACTAAAAACATATTCAGAATAATTAATTTATCATAATTTTGCTTCAAATCCTTCTCAAAACATCGATCAAAAGAGGTCATGTTTGTGTCACGTGACTTACCTCTCTCTATACCGATGTGAAGTAGGACGAGAATTCAATGCGTACACAATACGATGTTGTCTTAAATCGCTGACTATTTATTACAAATAGTGAAGCTTAATCAAATTCTCGGATTATCCACCGCCAATGTCTCTTTCCATGAATTTTATCTCAGAGAGTGTTATACGTCTAATTCTTCATAAAGTTTATCAACATGTACATTTAGTGCAACCTTCGACGTCACGTGTGCAGACACTCCTAATCGTCGGGCTGTCGATTAGGGAAACCCTTACATTTTTTGTCCTGTATGTGCTCCATGAGTGTTTTTCAGGGAATCCAGTATTTTTCTAGTAAGATTGGATATTTCTACTTTCCATGTATACCAAAATTGCCATACTTTTATTGGAAATAACCACCCGATAAATACTTTCTGGGAACGTAGCTTTAACACATCTTGTACATTAGTACAATCAGTAGAATGTTTCAAATGAAATGAAATGGGGTTTAACATCCTACTGTTCTGCTCCTATACTGGGCTAATGAAGACGGGCATACGCTATACAGTGTGCTATGAGGGAAATTTTGCCCGGGAAGCGGCACTATCGCCTACTCTTATATCGAATTCCAACTGCCAAGGGATCTTTTACGTGCATTCCAATGTTTACACGGGACCTCGGTTTTTCGTCTCATCCAAAGGACTAGACAGTTGTCTTTGTCAGGCCCTCCGTCCTGCATCACTGACAAGGGGAAACCACGTCGGAAACTAAAATTCAACAGCAGAAGAACTATGTTAACATTATCACTACCAATAATACTATCAATACATGTATTAAACTCACCCATACTTCATCATCTTCATTACTACAAATTTACCATATTTAGATTTACACAGATTGACGATTGAATCTAAGTATAAAAAATAAATTATTTGAACAATGAATAATCAGGTTCAGCAGGCAGTATGAACTCCAAACTATGAAGTGTTTTTGTGCTGACGTCATCACCCTGTGTGCTGTCACTGACATAAGTGGCGTTCGCTTCGTCCATTTTCAATGAAGAAATTGGGAAAAGTATGTGGTTAAAAAGGAGGTACAAAATCGTGATTTTCTCATTGATTTGTGGATGAAATTTGCATTCTTTGCTAGTTTTTATAAAGCTTGGTCATTTACTATTCAGTAAAAGTAGTCGGCAATTGTTTTGAGCAAATTTTCGGTCTGTAAAAATTTTTTTTTTTTTGACAGTAGGTGATGAGATCGAATCATTTTGAATTTGATAAAGATAGGTTGCCAGGCAATGAAACATACATCCACAGCAACTAAGTCGCCCGAGCAGTCAACAAGAGTTGTCACATATTTTTTCTATTGTCGGTAATGAGACAATTATAATACATTAAAATCTGATTAAGAGTAACAATTCATTAAGTAATTATCAGAAAATCATTAGAATTTGTTTGGCTTTTAGGTCTGCCCCATAACTTTTAGTATGCAAAACATTTAAAATCAATATACTTGTTCGTCTCAAGATCTTAAACTTGGTGTATCAATCTAAAGTCAATTGATTGATAACTTTGGTCTCTAGAGTATCCATAAGACTTTTCAAAGTGATCAAGGGCCATAACTCTGGCAGTAATTATCGGATATCGCTGAAAATAGGTTCCTTCATCTCATGACCTTAAACACTGTGTATAAATTTAAAGTCAATCGGATATTAACTTTAGCCTTTAGAGCGTCTACAAGCAATTGTGGACGTCGGCGGGCAGGGCGGACGGCCTGACGTGGGCGTCGACAATATACAACCACATTTCAATGTGGGCGTATAAAAACACATTGCAATGAGCTTTTTGACTAAAATTTGATTCGATTTGATATTTTTTAACCAAACTAATAGTGTTATTCCTTGTTTCAGGTGAACAACCAAACATGTTTGATGCTGAGGACAACATCGTACTTCAGACTTCGCATTTTGGCGGAAACAGAAATCTGTCCCCAAAAAAAAGCATGAAGCCGTGTTCGTAGTTCGTACTGGTTGCAGAACCTTTCTATTGACAAACAAGACCTTTGTTAATAAGATGTTGAATTGTAAGTCTGACTTGGTAATAGCTACGCTCGCTTATCATGATAACTTATGCAAGTGTGTTTTCATAGATATCCATTCAATTGGGATAGCATGGAATTTGGGGATTGTAACCAAAAACAGGGAAAATGAAAGATCATATTTTTGAAAACAGCGGTTGCCAGGCAAGATATGCCCATATTTTGCAAGAGTTGGATAAAGAACAAGCCAAAAACAAAAGCGATTTAATGTACAATCAGGGGCTATGATCCAGAAAGTTATGGTCTGAAATGCACAAATATCAGATGGGACTGAGATCTTTGGGATATAAAGATAATATTTATGTTTTATCAAAATCGGATAACAAATGTGAACTTTAAAGGGTCCACAACCTTCGTAATACCCAATTTTACACATTTTGCGTACAAAGAGCGACCATTTTGTTGGGCAGTATCATTTCGATTTTCTCGAAATACGAATTTAACCATCATTATGGTGGAATGGATATGTATTTACAGTTTTTAAAATCGGATATAAAATTGTGACCTTTTAGAGAATCCACAAGCTAAAAATGCGCTTTTTGGAACAATCAGGGGCCATAATCCTGGAAGCTACGTTCGGATATGTGCAATTATCAAAAGGAACCAAGATCTTTGTGATATAAACATAAATTTAAAGTTTCATTCGGATAAAAATTGTGGCCTCTAGAGGGTGCACAACCTTGATATACCATATATTTACACTATTTGCGTACAAGGGGTGGTCATTTTGTGCAGCAGTTTTGGCCCGATTTTCAACGAATTTGAACTCAACCATCAATAAAGTGTAACGGTGATATATTCAAACGTTTTTTTAAATCGGATAAAAATTGTGACCACAATTTTTCGTAAAATCAAGGGCCATGATTCACAAAGTTACGATCCGATATGCGTGAAAATCGAAAGGAACCAAGATCTTTGGGTAATAAACATGTATTTCAAGTTTTATCAAAATCGAATAAAAATTGTGACCCTCTACAGGGACCACAAACTAAAAACGCAACTTTTTGTACAATCAAGGGCTATAATTCAAGAAGTTGCGATCAGATGTGCACAAATATCGGAAGGAACCAAGAACTTTGGGTTATACAGATATATTTCAAATTTCATCTAAATCGGATCAAAATTGTGGCCTCTAGAGGGTCCACAACCTTGATATACTATATATTTGCACAATTTTTTCACGAGGTGCGGTCATTTTGTCCGGTCATTTTGTCCGGCAGTTTTGGTCTGATTTTCACGAAATTCCAACTCGGCCATCATTAGGGTGTAACGGTGATATATTCAAACGTTTTTTAAATTGGATAACCAGCGGCTGCCAGGCAGGATACGCCAACATTTTGCAAGAGATGGATAGAGAACAAGCTAAAAACAACCAGGATTTTTGTACAACCAGGGGCAATAATCCAGAAAGTTATGGTCTGAAATGCGCAAATATCAAAAGGGACTGAGATCTGTGGGATATAAAGATATGTTTTAAGTTTCATCAGAGTCGAATAAAATTTGTGACCTCTAGAGGGTCCACAACCTTCATATTGCATACTTTTACACAATTTGCTTACAAAGAGCGGCCATTTTGTCGGGCAGCTTCATTTTGATTTTCCCGAAATTCAAATTCAACCTTCATTATGGTGGAATGGCGAAATATTTAAAAGGTTTTTAAAATCGGAAAAAAAATTGTGACATCTAGGGAATCCGCAAGCTAAAAATGTGATTTTTCGAACAATCAGGAGCCATAATCCAGGAAGTTATGTTCAGATATAAAAGGCATGATTTTGAGTCTTCTCAAAAATAAATGAAAAAAATTGTCACGGCGTGTGAAAGCCCGGTTGACCCGGTTCTCGGCACACCAATTCCTGCCCATCTCCGTCTCTAACCAACTCCATTTCCATGGATTCTTTACGTTGTCAAGGCTCTTAATATCATGGTTGTCATCTCGATATTTTACTTTGCCGCCATTTTATTTCACAGCCCAGAAATGGGACAATTCGTCACATAGTATTTATTCATATTACAGGTTTCATATCAAGAGGTTTCAAATTTAATTCTAATATCTCCAGGTGGCTTGGACGACAGCATTATAAGATATGATATCAATTTAGTAATAAATGTCAATATCCCATTCCTCACACGCGTGACATGATTATTATTAAAACTACGAATCCACCCGCACACATCCAGCTTGAAACGAAATCACTCTACAGGACAATTCCCGCAGATTATGATTTCTTGGAATTTCAATGGACAATTATTATTGTAGTCTCGATCGTGTAGGTCTGATTATTTAATTATACAGAACAATAAGGGACAAGTGACTTAATAATGATATAAACTATGTTTACTTTTAACATCGGGTTCGAGGAGAAGGCCTAAGTTTTTTTATCAACTTATGACTCTTCTCCTGCTCCCTCTCAAGACTCGGCCAAAATGTATTACCCCCCCCCCCCCAACAATTTGACGGCAAGCTAAAAACGTAATTTTTTGTACATTCAAGGTCTATAATTCAGGAAGTTAAGATCCAATACGCGCGAATATCGAAAGGATCCAAGATCTTTGGGTTATAAACATGTATTTCAAATCTCATCAAAGTTGCATGAAAATTATGACCTCTAGAGGGTCCACAAGCTTGATATACCAGATGCTATACACTGTTTGCGTACGAAGGGCGGCCATTTTCTCCGGCAGTTTTGGCCCCGATTTTCACAAAATTTGAACTCAATAAACATTACGGTGTAACAGTGATATATTTGACCTCTAGAGGGACCACAAGCTAAAAACATGATTTTTCATACAATCAGGGGTCATAATTTAGGAAGTTACTATCCGATATGCCCGAATATCGAAACGAACCAAGATCCTTGGGTTATAAACATGCATTTCAAGTTTCATCAAAATCAGATCAAAATTGTGACCTCTAGAGGGTCCACAACTTTGATATACCAGATGTTTACACTAATTGTGTATGAGGGGCGGCCATTTTGTTCTGTTTACCAAAAACTCCATCTGATTATGTTATTATTATCACTGTTGTTTAGAGCTGCAACGATTCAGTTCGGTGCACCGATAACCGACACTAGCCGCCTCGGTTCGATCCATGATCTACAACGTTCAAATTTCGATTCGGTTCAATTGCAAATTAAATTTCAAATAAAAACAACGTACACCTTACCATATGAAAAAAAATGAAAGACCTGAAGCAATTAAGTCCACTTAAAATTTAAAAAAATCTTTTAATTTACGTAACTTTTAATTTACGTTATTTAACAAGACACGAATGTCACTCGAAAACATAACTAGAACAGAGTGACCTCCCTTTAAAACAATTTCCGTATGCTGACGAAAGTTAATTTATTTAAAATTGGTGACGTACCGAATGTTCATTGGGTGTTAATTTAGGTCAATAGCTTCGGTAATCGTTAGATAAATTCTAAACGATCTCATTAGCTGATAATTCCGGTCATTATCTTCTGATATTTTCGTGTTTAAACGATTATTACCCGTAGTCAAGCAAACACGACTGGAAGGTACAATTATGGCAGACGACGTACTTTCTCGACCACCTGGTCATTTGAAATGTAAAGTTTGGGATCATTTTGGTGTAAGAAAAAACTCTAAAGATGTGGCAAGAGAGAGAGAGAGAGAGAGAAATGGGGTTTAACGTCCACTCGACACAAACTAGGTCATTTCGGGACTAACATATGTTTTTTTTAAATTTTATTTCACTAATTCGCTTGCGCATAGGGGTCTTTAGCAGTGGGAGGAAACCGGAGGATCCGGAGAAAACCCACGAGGTTGGACAGGCGACCCTACTCCTTGTCACGTACAACCGGGGATTCGAAACCACGCCAGTCGACTCAATGACAGACTTTATGATACAGCACGCGCACGCTAACCATTCAGCCATCCAACCCCCCCTAAAGATGTGGCAACTTGTAGAGTATGATACACTGACATATCCCATAAAACAGGAAACACAACAAACCTGTCAAACCAATAAAAGTGTTCGAGAGAATTTTAGTCTTGTGTTTTCATTGTTTTAAATGAATTACATACAGGAAAAATTACTGGCTATTGTAGCTGATAATCGAATCGAAAATAATCGAATCGAATGGTTAAAATCAATAATCGAACCGAATCGAGGTAGTTGTGAATCGTTGCAGCCCTACTGTTGTTGTATTTTGGCGTTTTAAGATTAACACAATAAACACAATTTTGTTTTTTTGACAATATTACCTTTTATTTCATCTAAAACTGAAGCTTTTTGAATTGCTGTACCATATTTGATTAAACACTGTATCATACGGGCTGTATCGTGAGCTAATGAAAACTATTAAAAGAACATTTATAGGTATTAATATAACAAGAAATGTGATTGATATTTGATAAAATGAAAGCAGACAATATGTTAACATAATTTAATATAATAAGTAAACTGGTGTAAGAATAATCATGATTGTCAGAAAATGATTAATAAGCTGGAACTAGTAGAATATAAGATCTAATATTTAATTCTTTAAATAATTGTAAATAATCTCACCTCGGCTATTTTACCTTTAACACCTGTATATAATTCTGTACAGTGTTCTATTCTCTTCTGATCTGATAAATCTTTTCTAAACACAAACAAAAACAGTCTTAATTCATCAAAATATTACTCTTAAATTTCTTGGTTATTGGACAATAAAATAATTACATGTACAGTGAATTCTTTGGCACCGACGTGAAACAAGTACATTAAGTTGCGACTATATTGTCCATTTAATCAACAGTGGTCGCAGGATTCTTATTAGCTCCCCCACCCTCTGAAATAAGCATTCAATCTATCTTCCATTTCAAGTGTAGTGTACTTACTTTCTCAATTGTTCCCATATAAGTTTAGAATTCTGTATTAGCTGATAATGATTTTTAGCAATTCTAGAAGCTGTTCTTCTGTCTTTCCAATTCATGTCTTTGGTTTTAGCTTTCTTCACCACTAAAAACCAACATAAAATTAAACCCATATTCAAGTATTATATACTAATATTATATCAGAAAGTCTGTTTTACAAGAAAAATAATGATGCTATCCTGTATTTCGTGTAGTGTGTAGTGGATATAAACTCTACTCATGCAATATGGGTAACACGATTGACTAATTTTGTCACACACGTTAAAAACTAATGAATCTCTGATACTTGATATCAATTTGTTTGAATGAGATCATACAGTATGTAGCATCTATTTTGTAATGCACTTACAGGGACATCAGAAACTCAAACATTTTCATACCCAATTCCATAACAGCATGCACTTCATAATCATCCAACAATAAATATCATCCAACAATAAAATGTTCTTACTTGTATCATCATGTAACATTGAATGTGAGGCATCTGGTAATTTCTTTTTTTGTAGATTTCTACTCTTCTCTAAGTTACCTTTAGTCTTCAAGCCTTTCAGTTTCTTAGCGGCTTGTTTGATCTGAAGCTGTCAAATTAATTAATAATAATACTATCTTGACACTGTTTGCTGTCTTCAAATAATATTACAAACTACACAGAAAATAAGAATCACCAAAGTAGGCAGCGTTTCAATATATTTTATTTTTCTCTGTGAGCGGCCACCTGGTCACGCTGTGAATTTTTATATACTTTATCTTTATGATCATTAAATAGAATGTCAACAGAAAAGTCAAGGATGTTGTAAATGAATATTCACTGCTGTACCAGTTATTGTTAATTGTCTGTATTACTAAACCAAAAACAATCTCCGTCTAAATAGATACATGTCCGGCGTATGCAGACCCTTTTCACTAGTATGGACACCCACTACAAATCTACGGGGTCAAACCTTTTGTAACTGGTGACCATATTATTTTGTCATTAGCTCCTGCTGGACTATTAAGACATGGTTGGATAAAAGCTCTAATTTTTTAGACTATATGTTTATGTTGCAGTGTCAAAAATCATGTGTATATAAATCATTATTTAGACATCCATTAACATGACAAGCCTATAATAAACTCTCTAGAACATGTAAACAGATTAAAATATGATAGCCATTTAATGATTTAATTTAAAAATTGTGAATCAAATACTGTTGCTACGATAATAAACAATCTAAGCCAACACTTCAAACAGCGATAACGTCACTCAGAATAAAGATATCTGAATGAAATTTTTAATATATTAATTATCTATTTTGGAACTATTATTTCACGAACGGTCCAGCTCTTTATCTAAATCTTACATAATGCATCTTTAAGTATTTAACTACAATGCTGTTGAACATGCCTTTCTTTATACCTCTGCTAAAGTGTGGAATGAGTTACCTGGCCAAGTAAAAAAACTTGAATAATTTTGCAGTTTTTAAACAGAATCTGAAAAGTTGAACTTTTCAAACATGCTTTTAAATAGTGAATATGTTTTCATTGTAAATTCTTTAAAACTGGTGTTTTATATTTTATGTATTTTAATTGTAAAAAGCACCCTGAAGCAGCTAAGCTGGAACACTCTGTCGTCAGTGCTATACAAATTGGTTATTATCATTAATACACATGCAGTTGTACAAACCTTAATAGATTTTTTCCTTTCTAATGGTTTTATTGAATCATGTTTCTTTATTGCTGGTGAATTTTCTTTAGTACATAACTCTAACTCTTCATCTAATAATTTCTTTGACTTTTCTTTAGTTTCTTGTGATATTTTGTTAGTATTCTTCACTGCAAAAGACTTTTCTGCTCCATCTGGAGTTCCTCTAGCTCGTTGAACAGCTTTCTCAAAAGTCACATCTCCTTTGCGGTTTTTACGTATGCCAGTTGTATGCATAGTCATCTCTGACATGTGAGCAATTGAACTTATTTCACCAAGTGAATCTGGTGTGCTTCTATCTAGTAAATTTTCTGTCAGATCAAAATGTTTTGATTTATGTGTGTAATATTTGTCGGTAGAATCATCTAAATTATCTGAAAGTCCATGTTTTTTCTTTTTTGAGGGCGAAATGCTGTCATCCTTGATCATGGAAGGAAGTGTCATTTTAAGTTTTTCTTTATGTAGAATACTGTTGCCCTCTGGATGACCTCTCATACTTCTATTTTTCTTGGGGGAACCAGATTTCTTTCTCCTTTGATTTGGAGTTTCGGAGTATGATATGGTGTCCATCTGAAACGATAATACATACATGTAAAGACACATTATGGTGTCCATCTGAAACGATAATACATACATGTAAAGACACATGTGGTTAACATCTATCACAACTCTTATCTCTGGTTAAAATTATTCATACTTATAAACATGCAGATGTTTACTACTTCTGGTGATTTGTAAAATCAAGATTAACAAGCCAACAGTCACTCTCACTTAATTAGAACTAAAGTTATCGTGTCCCAAAGCATCAACCAATCAAATTGCTTATCTCTGCTTACCCCAAGCAGAAAATGCCCATCTTCGAACCCCATCAAGGCATTCACCTAATGAACACCTACACCAAGTTTGAACGTTCTAGCTCAATTAGGAGAGTTATTGTGTTCCAAAGTCTAGACTGGAATAACCAGACGCTAGAAATTGGCATTCTGTTGAGACTTATGCCGTATTTCGCTGGATATAACTGATTTGAAATTAGAGTCAAAACGGAAACAATTGAATGTAAATAAATTTATATACAATCAGATTACATTATTATATGCATTTGGATCAATTTCTAGGTCCCAAATATTAGCGATTTAGCTCCTTTAAGTTTGTATTGTTACCATGATTACTAAGCTATATGCTTTAACAATAAATAACATAAAATAATTGGATCAGATCAATACAAGGCAAACATTATTAACTTATGGAAATTGTATATGAAGAAACCCTAAGCACCAACCAGCTGCTAATTTATATCTATAAGGAAGTGTGGCTCTATATAGTATATATATTATAATATAGAGCAAAGCTCTAAAGCACCGCGCAAATTGTGCAAAGCTCTTTTCCGGTAACACTGGAGCGTAATTGAAAATGTCACCCACAGACTGTTGATTTAAAAAAAATTCAGCCGGAACCGGATACACTGGGCAAAACAGGCAATGCGCATGTCAACTTACCAAATCTCGTCCAAGCGAGATCACGTAACTAACAAAAATAATTCTATCCACCAAATCTCGCCCAAGCGAGATTACGCGCCTCATAGAACTATTTCTATGACGCGTCTAATGAATGACGTCACATATTTTTTACGTCAATGAAAATAATTCTCACACTTTTTTGTTCTTTTTTTAAAAACAAAATTAATGTATAAAATTTATATCTCAATAAAAACTAAATTATTTAATATTTTTTGTATCACTTGAGAAAATTAATTATGAATGAAGGTTTTATATTTAACAATAATCAGCTTCGCTCTACTCAGGCAATGCCTGTTACATATTATATTTCCTGCACATCTAGTAACGAAGCCATTCTATGCATGTTACTTACCTGTAAATTATGGCTATGATATTGTTAAGTTTGTATTGTTACAGTGATTACTAAAAAATAATATGCTTTAATAATAAATTACATAAAATAATTGGTCCGAGTTGTCTGGATGATACCGTCGTATGTTTACAACATAAAAGTGCACGAGTGACCATCAAGACTAAAAGATATCATTGCACACAATATTTAAACAAATTGCTTTCCATAGAACTGTTGTGATTAAATTAATGGTTTCAATTACTAAATGCCAAGTAAAATAAATCTATTATAGGCCTAATAAAATATACGGTAAAAAAAAAAAAAAGATTACTCCGTCTTACTCTCAATCATGCCATAATCTCACAACTTCGCGTAGAAATTTCCAGCTAACATTATAGTACGATAGGAAATAATATTGATATACCTCTGGCGGTAAATATTCACTTAATTTTATTCTTTTGACTTTGGTGTGTCTCTACTCTAGGCCTATTTTGTTTTCTTCATCACATTCATGAAAACAAAACCACGTTTCAAAGCGCGGTACATGTTTCCGATTGTCGTAAATATGAGGCTTTGAAAAATAATAAAAATATTGATAGGCCTATGTGTTGTTTAATTGTTGTTAATGTTTTTCTTTTTGATAAGTCTATTTTAAAGCCAAGAATAAAATTGTTGGTTTCAAACATATAATCGATACTATTTTATTTTTGTTTTACCTATCACCCAGACACTAACATTGTATTTCCAATCCTTGAAATTATTTGTAAGCCTGGATAATTAAGATTTTCACTTTTATTTACGACAACTGAGGAACACTGACCTTTGGTTAGACTGGATATAGTTCTATGATGCGACTTAATGAGTCCCAAATATTAACTTTTTTCTTCCGTCAAATTAAACTCTAAAACATTTTTTTCATTTATTAGAAAAATAAATAAAGACGTTTAAATTATTTGTAGGTAAAAGTCATTTCCTATTTAGTGTAAAATTCACCATTTAGCCCGAATCAGTAACGTCTTATATAAACAAACAATGCACGCGCTATTGAGCCAATGATTGACGCCGCGTGATGTGACGTAACATGTCGAAACAGTCATCTGTTACAGAGATATTAGAAAATCTCTGTGAAACAGATTGGCACACCACCTGGTTGCGGTGGATGAAAAAAAAATGCTTTCCGGGTCACCGTATCCGCACAAGTGACCGAATCAGCTGATCACTTTCGCTGTCAATCAATTCCCAGAAATGATATCTAAGATATTTCGTACAATAATTATTGGACCCCCTGGTTCTGGTAAAGGAACTATTTCAACGCGAATAGTGAAGGATTTTGGCATGAAACACTTATCAAGTGGCGATATTTTACGTAAACAGATATTGGATGGTACAGGTGCGAAAAACATGGGAAATGTCATTTCGACATGATGATTATATTTCATTCAGTCGAAATGTCAAAATGCTGCTATTTTAAGTCTTCACAAGCTAGACTACACTTAACATGAATTTCAAAATTGAAAATGTTGCTAAATCTCAAAACAAATAGTTTTGTCATCAACTCTGGGTAGGATCCCATTACACAATTAAATATTCCTAAAGTCAAAGAAAATATCATATTCATTTATATTGCCGCATTGTGCAACTCATGGAAAGGTCACTTTTTTGCACAATACTAGATCTTTGTACGATCTGAGAAATATCTTTCTCTGGGGTTAGGGTTTGGGTTAGGTTTATAAATTACATGTCAAATGTAAAAATTGAAGCTGTAACAACTGTGGATTGTGGCTAAAACTATTCTGAAGGGTTAGGGTTAGAATTGTGGGTATAATTCAGTATAAACACGGAAATATATTTCTCAGATCGGAAAGAACTAGTATCATGCCACTTTTTTGGATATCTCATTTCACTAACAGATGGCAGCAAACTGAGCAGTAGGGTTAAGAATCCATGACTAGCATACTTTCTGATTAGGCCTATAGATTACAAATATCTCAGATTATGGAACATGTTTGTGAGAATTTTACAATAACTTAGATGTTGCAAATGTCATTGTCATAATATTCAATATTTATTACAGCATGTTTATAGTGTGCCCTTTTATATAACATGCTCAGGGACAGTTTTGGGCTTTAAAAGTAGTTTACTGTATCTAATGTGCGTAATGTTCTGCCAGGTGTATAAAGTTCTAAAAAATATGAGAGATAAACAGGAGCTAAATTATTTAAACATTTAAAAGAAAGTAATAAAATCTTAAAATCAATTCAATATTTAACAGGTAACCAGTGTGAATTATATAAAACAGGAGTTATGTGGTCGTATTTCTTAGTTAAAGTAACAAGTCTAGCTGCAGTATTCTGTACTTTATGTAATTTATCTATACGTTTTAAAGGTAAACCAACTAAAAGTGAATTAAAGTTATCTAATCGAAAAGTGACCAGAGAATTAACAAGTGACTTAGTTTTAGTGCCATCTACAGTTGAGCTTCCATTTAAACTATCAAAGATTGCGCCAATATTACGGGCAGAATAAGATGAAAATATATCACAATTACCAATTACAACAGGGGGGCTTATCATGTCTCTAACATGATTGACCCTACTGCTGATTAAGTTGCAGCCATTGGTAGTGAAATGAGATATTGCCTCCTTGATGAGCACAATAGATAGAAAGAACTTTTATGTTTGTGGGAATATTGAATTTCTATTCTCCGGTTGTACGTGACAAGGAGTAGGGTCGCCTGTCCAACCTTGTGGGTTTTCTCTGGGTTCTCCGATTTCCTCCCACTGCTAAAGACCCCTATGCTCAGGGGAAATTATTGAAATAAAGTTGAACCATGTGTTAGTCCTGAAATGACCTAGTTTGTGTCGAGTGGACGTTAAACCCTCTCTCTCTCTCTCTCTCTCTCTCTTTGTTTGGGCACTAATGCTACCGATAAAAGTAGGGGGTGGGGTGCTAATAGTCGATTCCTTTGGTACAGTGTTAAAAACTTGTGGAGAGGTATCAAAATTAATAATAAACAAAAAATTTGACCCCGACCCCCCTAACCCCCATGTACATATCCCCTGAATATGGGGTACCCCTAAATTAGCCAAAGTATCAGTTTTTCTGTCATTTCACCACTAACAAGTTTGTCTAGAATGCCTTTCACAGGTTCATATGTTGGTTTACGTGGTCTGCAAGTCTGAATATGACATTGAAAACGACCCGCGACAATATGATATGGCAGCAATCCAATATTGAGGCCAAAAGGGCACCACAAATATGTATTCTTTGCTTTTCGACCAAAAATAGTGTTGTAATATGTCGACTACTAGGTTTTCGAGGTCCTAGAATCCAAATTTATTGTGATTTCAAACAAAAAAGAAACCACTAACAACATATTTATCATGTGGTGAAATATTCATCAGTTATAATACAATTACAATTATCATTATTATGGATTAAGTTAAGCTATCTCGGACTGAATTCAAATCAGTCATCGTTACATCTGCTTTATGATTGAGATTGCTTAGGTAGGCCTCCAAATTGGTCCCATAAACAAATGCTAGCAACTTTTAATGGTCCTTTAGTAAATGGAAAATGTCACTTTGTTTAGTTACTGATAAGACTGTCTCTCGAGCAAATCTTACTTCGATGTAATAAAATGATTGTTTCGCCATTTGTCACAGAATAAGTTTGCTATTTCCTTGACAGCTAGATAGACCCTGTTGCTGCAAAAGCTTCTGTTTCTTGTCCCACGTTTTCATTACAGCAGGAATTTCATACTTAGCGATATTACTATATCCTGGGAATTGGCTTTCACTTGCACAGTGGATGCACATTTCAGTCACATTTTTGTCTTTTCGCATAAAAGGCAAAAGAGACTTTTGGACGAGAATGCTTGACACGAACAGAACAATGAGTGGGTTTAATTACAACTTCAAAATGATGTTTAATACGAATCATAATTACCAGTACAACAACTGACTTCCACTTTTCAGCCAAATTATGGTCAAATAAAGGGTACAATGGACGTAATTGTCCGGGAGGCCATTTCAGAATGGCCTTGGTTTGATGTGACTCTGATCGTTTTTACCTGAAATTGATTGTTTCAGAGAAAGCTTATAGAATGTGTTACCAGATGGCGCCATTAACTGGGGTTCGTTGAAAAAGTGACTTAGATCGTTCTTCCCCTGGGCTCTTCAAATATGTTTGTTGTTAGTGGTTTCTTTTTTGTTCGAAATCAACACAAATTCAGATTTTACTCCCTAGAAAACATAGTAGTCGACATATTACAACACTCTATATGGTCGAAAAGCACAAAATACATATTTGAGGCACCATTTTGGGCGCCATATTGGATTGTTGCGGATTATTTTTAATGTCATATTCTGACATGCAGAACACGAAAACCTATATTTGGGCCTGGGAAAGGCATTCGAAACAAACTTGTCAGTGGTGAAATTACAGAAAAACTGATATTTTGGCTAACTTGAGGGGCACAGGCGTGGGTTTGTCATAACTTTGGAGGGGGGGGGACGGATGAACCCTGGAACCTGGAACATTTCATTACCAAACCAAAATAAGAATTACGAACAGTTTACTGTACCAGTGTTATTTCGATGAAAGCTGTATCTAGGGGTAATATGATGACAATATGGAAAAATTGATAGCTGCGATCGGTCAATTAAGGAGGAAGATATTGTGGAGATCAGTAACTGTGGTGAGACCCAAGGCAGTTGTTAGATAGCCTTCAGAACGGGTCATTCATGTGGATATAAACCTGAAAATCTGTCCTTGCGATCAAAATCACGAGGGGGACAGAGACCTATTCGTCCCCCCACCCACTTTCGATTCTTGAGGGGGGGGGGATGCGTCACCCCCGCCCCCTTAATTCACGCCCATGCATGGGGGTCAGGGGTTAAATTGTTTTCTGTATTATGGATTTTGATACCCCTCCACATAATTTAAGCACCGTATAAGCTTTGTTGACTGTACAGACGAATTAGCTACCGTGGGCTTATGTTTCATTGACTGGCAACCTATCTCTTTATGATTTATTTTCTAGCTGCGGGATCAACAGCTAAACAGTTTATAGATAAAGGTCAACTAGTCCCAGATAATGTAATGGTACAACTTATTATTAATGAACTCAAAAAAATTCAAGGCAACAGCTGGCTGTTAGATGGTAAACTTTAGGATTCATTTTTCTTTTAGTATTATATAGGCCTACATTGCAGGCTATCCTACATATGATGTAGGTCTTAAATGAGAAAGATATTTCAGAAAAAGAAAATCAGAATGATTTTTCTGTCAAATAGCCAATAGCATTAGAAACCCATTTAGGATCAAAGGTGTATTGTGTTCTAAGGACTGCATTATGTTGAGACTGATAATTTCTGGAGCTATGGGTCTACAAGTCGTTTGAGGATTAGCCATTTGTATATGCCAACATTTAAGTGTGGGTGTATGTATTATGTCGTCACCTTGTCCGTCGGTTCAAAAGAGGACGAACCCCATTTTCAGCGTTCTGCAACTTTTCGTTCCATCGCTATTCGCCCTTTGTCAAAAACCTTGTGAACGTGATAGAAGTTGTAATTTGGTGTAAAGGATTGTGGTCATGAGAGGACAATGCCTATCGTTATTTAACGTTTTACGAATTTCTGTTCCGGAGTTATCCCCCCCATTTGCTGAAAACAGCTTTTGACTGATTCTTTTTGTTAAGCAGGGGAATATTAACCCTTGTCCTGCGGTACCTGGATTATTCCGGGATCTGCACGAGCCCTCCATATACGGCACCCGGAATATTCTGGGATTACCGATTGTATTTATTTCCGGGCGTTTTAATAGAGTTAACTCCCATGTACGATAGGTGGCGTTTCACTAAACGCTGTCATTCTTGTTTACATTTTTTTTGCTAATTTTCCGAAGATTTGGCGGACGAATGTAATGATACATGTCCAAAAAAAAACCAAAACGTGACGTTATGTCACGACTAACTTCCTAGGAAGTGTTGGACGTATTTTAACGATGAAGATAGTGAACTCTGTGAAAATTTGATCACAGTTGTTGACTCAGATTTTTAAAGTGTCAGTGCTAAAAATCTGATTTGCAGATTCTGGCAGCTATATCAGTTTTAGTAGAGGCACCCAACGTTATACAAGTACTCCCAAAACAATTCAGTTGACGACGTCATATATGACGTCAACAATTCTGAGCTTTAGGGCTAAAATGGGTTCGTCCGTCTGTCTGTCTGTCTGTCACACTTTTTGGGACACAATAACTCTCCTTCTAATTGATCTAGAATTTCCAACTTGATCTAGGTGTTTATTAGGTCACTGCCTTGATAGAGTTCGAAGATGAGCATTTTCTGCTTAGGGTAAGCCGAGATAAGCAATTTGAATAATACTTTGGGAAACGACAACTTTAGTTCTAATTAAGTGAGAGTGATGAAACTTGGTGTATAGTTTCATTACATCAATACCTTGACTAAGTTTGATAATGAGCATTTTCTGCTCAGTCAGGGTAATCCGAGTGATAAGCAATTTGATTGGTGGTGACTTTGGAAAACAATAACTCACCTTCTAATTGAGGTAGAATGTTCAAACTTGGTGTAAATGTTCATTAGGTCAATGCCTTGATGGAGATCAATGATAAACATTGTATGCTTACGGTAAGCAGAGATAAGCAATCTAATTGGTTGATGCTCTGGGGCACAATAACTTTGGTTATAAATTAATTGAGAGTGAGGAAACTCTGAGCATAAATTCATTATATCATTACCTTGACTAAGTTCGATGATGAAAATTTTCTGCTTAGGCTAAGGAGCGATAAGCAATTTCATTGGTCAAGACTTTGGAACATAACAACTCTGCTTTTAATTGACATAGAATGTTTAAACTTGATGTAGATGTTCATTACTAAGTTCAATGATTAACATTTCGAGCTAAAGCTAAGCAATTTAATTGGTTGATGCTTTGGGATAAGATAACTTTGATTCTATCTGAATCTGATAGAGAGTGATGAAACTTTGTGTATAGTTGGTAATCAGTTTGGTTGCCAGGGGGGGTGCACCCCCCCAGCAAAAAAGATAGTCTTTCGCAAAATATGTGCAGTCGGTCGCGAAATAAGTGCAGTCGATCTCGAAATAAGTGCTCACTGAATTAATGAGGTAAATAAACAATGCCAAAATAGAAGGAAAAATGCCAAATTTTTATGTATTTGCGTAAATCCGTGCACCTAAATCGCATATGTCACGCTACTCACCCAAAGCGTTTGTATAAAATAACCTTGTCAACTTACCATGTTTGAAAAAATGTTTTTTACCCTTCTTCTCTTGTGAGTTGGTCTAAGAAAAAAATCCCCCCCTGGGAGGAAAATAGTCGGTCTCAAAATATGTGCCGTTACTACAGTCAGTCTCAAAATTATGCATCAGCGACTGACGAAATGAATTAATGAGGTAAACAAACAATGCCAGAATAGAAGGGAAAAATCTCAAATACTTTTATATTTCTTAAGTCACATAGTCGGTCTCAAAATAAGTGCTCACTGCAGTCGGTCTCAGTCTAAATGAATTAATGAGGTAAACAATGCCAAAATAGAAGGGAAAATTTTTGTATGAATCCATGCACCTAAATTGCAACGGTATAGTATAAAATAACCTAGTCAACTTGTAATGTTTGAAAAAAAAATTCCCTGTTATGAGAGCTTGTTAGGAATATTTTGATAACTTAAATTACATTATTGATTGTCATACGAATAATATTAGTCAAACAGTTGGTAAGAAGTTATCGGAAGCATAGTTTGTTTCAGAAATATGTAAAAAATCTTTAAATTATGAAATGTTATGGCGATCTATTTAGTTAGGGAGCTAGGTTCAGGTTGTTTCGAAAATCGTGTACAAAATGTCTACTATGTTAAATGAGTGGGCAGTGATGTCCGATACTCTGAACCTTGATTCTTAAGTTGCACCTCCCCTTCCCTTTGAATTTTCGAGTTTAAATCAACTTTTGCGTACAACAATCAACTTTCGTGCATAAGTCGACCAACTTCAGATGTCGCTAAAAACACTGCTTAAGAAGACCCCCGACCCTTCCTTCTCCCTTAAGAACACCCCCTTACCCCCCAGAGAGAGGGGTTAATTTGACTTTTGCGTACAACATTAATTTTTTATACGCCCACATTTTCATGTGGACGTATATTGTCCTCGCCCCTGTCCGTCCGTCCACAATTTGTTTGTGGACACTCTACAGGTCACAATTCTTATCTGATTTTGACGAAAATTGAAATATAGGTTTACCTCCAAATTGGCATGTATTGGATCGAAACTTCGTGGATTATGGCCCCTGTTTGTGGACCCTATAGAGGTCATAATTTTTATCCGATTTTGTTGAAACTTGAAATGTAAGTTTATAACCGAAAGATCTCGGTTCCTTTCGATATTCGCGCATATGGGACCGTAACTCCCTGAATTATACCCCCTTCGCGCATATGGGACTGTAACTTCCTGAATTATACCCCCTGATTTTACGAAAAATCGCGTTTTTAGCTTGTGGACCCTATAGAGGTCATAATTTTTATCCGATTTAAAAAAACGTAGTATAATATCACCGTTACACCCTAAGGGTGGCTGAGTTCGAATTTCGTGAAAATCGGCCCAAAATTGACAGACAAAATGGCCACCGTTCGTTTTCAAAGGTTGTGGACCCTATAGAGGTCACAATTTTTTTCCGATTTTGTTGAAACTTGATTTGTAAGTTTATAACCCAAAGATCTCAGTTCCCTTCGATATTTGCGCATATCGGACTGTAACTTCCTGAATTATGGCCCCTGATTGTACGAAAAATCGCGTTTTTAGCTTGTGGACCCTATAGAGGTCATAATTTTTATCTGATTTAAAAAAGCGTATTATTATATTACACCCTAAGGATAGTTGAGTTCGAATTTCGTACCAAAGCTGACAGACAAAATGGCCGCCCCTCGTACTCAAATAGTGTAAAAATATGGTATATCAATGATGTGGGCTCTCTAGAGGTCTCAATTTTCTTTTGATTTTTATGAAACTTGAAATGTAAGTTAATAACCCAAAGATCTTGGTTCCTTTCGATATTCGGCATATCGGATAGTAACTTCCTGAATTATGGCCATTGATTGTATGAAAAATCACGTTTTTAGCTAGTGGTCCTTGTAAAGATCACAATTTTTATCTGATATAAAAAAAATGTGTAAATATATCACCATTACACACTAAGATCATGGATCCTTTTGATAATCGCAGATACCCGAACTTAACTTCCTGGATTATGGCCCGTGATTGTTTGAAAAATGTCATTTTTAGCTTGCGGATTCTCTAGAGATCACAATTTTTTTCCGATTTTAAATATTTCACCATTTCACCATAATGGAGGTTGAATTCAAATTTCGGGAAAATCGAAATGAAACTGCCCAACAAAATGCCTGCTCTTTGTTCGAAAATTGTGTAAAAGTATACAATACAAGGGTTGTCAACCCTCTAGGGGTCACAATTTTTGTCCAATTCTGTTGAAACTTAAATCATATCTTTATATCCCAAAGATCTCAGTCCCTTTTGATATTTGCGCATTCCAGACCATAACTTTCTGGATTATTGCCCCTGGTTGTACAAAAAATCTTTTTTGTTTTTAGCTTGTTCTCTATCCATCTCTTGCAAAATGTTGGCGTATCCTGCCTGGAAGCCGTTGGTTATCCAATTTAAAAAAACGTTTGAATATATCACCGTTACATCCTAATGATGGTTGAGTTCGAATTTCGTGAAAATCGGGCCAAAACTGCCGGACAAAATGGCCGCCCCTTGTATAAAAAATATGGTATATCAAGGTTGTAAACTCTCTAGAGGTCACAATTTTCACCCGATTTTGATGAAACTTGAAATGCATGTTTATAACCTAAAGATATTGGTTCCTTTCGATATTCGCACATATCAGATCGTAACTCCCTGAATTATGGCCCCTGATTGTACAAAAAATTGCGTTTTTATCCACCCACATTAAAATATGGTTGTATATTATCGTCATCCCGGCCGTCCGTCCACAATTCCTTGTGGACGCTCTAGAGGCTAAAATTAATATCCGATTGACTTTAAATTTATACACAGTGTTAAAGGTGATGAGGCGAAGAGGTCTATTGATTTTCAGCGATTTCCGATAATTACTACCAGAGTTATGGCCCTTGATCTCTTCAAAAAAATCTTCTGGACGCTCTAGATGCTAAAGTGAATATCTCGTTGACTTTAAATTTTTACACAGTGTTTAAGGTCATGAGACGAAGAAGTCTTTTGATTTTCAGTGATTTCTGATAATTACTGCCAAAGTTATGGCCCTTGATCACTTTGAAAAATCTTGTGCCTGTCTAGAGGCTAAAGTTATCATCCGATTGACTTCAGATTGATACACAGAGTTTAAGGTCTTGAGAAGAACAAGTATATTGATTTTCAATGAATTTTGATAACTTGAACAGCTAAATCCATGGGGCAGAACTTTATAAAAAACAAACAAATTCTAATGATTTTCTGATAATTACTTAATGAGTTGTTACTCTTAATCAGATTTTAGTGTATTATAAATGTTTCATTACTGAAAAATGTAAAAATATGCGACAACTTTTGCTGACTGCCCGGACGATTTAGCTGCTGTGGGCGTATGTTGCATCCCTCTAGAGGTCACAATTATTATCTGATTGAAAAAAAAAACGTTCAAATAAATATATCTCTGTTACGCCGTATTGTTGGTTGAGTTAGAATTTCATGATAATCGGAACAAAACTGACATACAAAATGGCCGCCCCCTCCCCCTCCCAAAAAAAATTTGATCCAATTTTGATGAAACTTGAAATGCATGTTTATAACCCAAAGATCTAGGTTGCTTTCGATATTCGCGCATATCAGATCATAACTTCTGATTTAACGTGTGAATATATCACCATTACACACTAAGATCTTGGTTCCTTTTGATAATCGCGCAAATCCGAACATAACTTCCCGGATTGTTTGAAAAATCGCATTTTTAGCTTGCGGTTTCTCTAGAGGACACAATTTTTTTTCCGATTTTAAAAAACGTTTAAATATTTCACCATTCCACCATAATGAAGGTTGAATTCGAATTTCGGGAAAATTGAAATGAAACTGCCCAACAAAATGGCCGCTCTTTGTACACAAATTGTGTAAAAGTATGTAATATGGACTCCTCAAGACTACTTCATTAATTACTTTCACATAAACTTGTGGGATGTGTTTTACTTTGTAATTTGTTCATCAAGCCTTCTCGTTGCAAATGCTGTTTGAGACCATAGAAAACCTGGCACCAGGAACTGATTTTAAAATGTTCATTGTGTCTCAAATAGTGAATATAAGGAGCCCATATTTTCAGGGTAAGATAACAACATCAATCTTGATTGAAATGGACCAATATTAAATCCAAATTCATATTTTTAATACCGAAGGTTTAGCTCCTTTAATTGGGGATAAAAAGGAGAAAAGTAAAGCATAGCGTGGGTCTCCGCTTGATATTCATATTTTTAATATCGAAGGTTTAGCTCCTTTAATTGGAGATAGAAAGGAGAAAGGTAAACGAAAAAATGCTGAAAGTTAGTAAAGGAGTTAATCGATAAAATTTGTTTTAAATAATACTGCCATATTTTTCTGAATAATATCGGGTATCTGTTTGATGAAAATATGAGTACGCTTTGATTCATGATCATTTTCAAGTGAAAATAATTATTTATTCTAAAATATAATCGAAAAATGTTGTATACATGTTTTTGATTCTAGAAAGATGACCAATTCGAAATTCTCTTGCAATACTGATCTTATTTTTGTTGGCAGTGTCTCCTTTTTGTTTTCGATAGCTGTAACTCTCGTAGATACCGTATTTATCCTTCGCACAAAGGACCCAATTTCTAACCATTCTTTCAGCCCGAATGTGTTAAGAAACATTTTTTACACACATTAATCAGGGCATCATTAACTCTTAAATTGTACTTAAAATCCCGGTCCTGTGCCCTCGGTGAGGAACATGATAAGGGATGGGATACTTTCCTTTGTCCCCAATCCATTGTATTCCAAAATTCACTAAAACGATTTTGCCGATCTTCGTTTGAAACAGTACCGCATTTTTTTGACGGCTGAGGTCGAATTTCGTGAAAATCGACCCAAAATTGACATACAAAATAGCCGCCTTTCGTTCTCAAATAGCATAAAAATACGGAATATCAAGGTTGGTGGACCCTATAGAGGTCACAATTTTTATCCGATTTTGTTGAAACTTGAAATGTAAGTTTATAACCCAAAGATCTCAGTTCCTTTCGATATTGGTGCATATCGGATCGTAACTTCCTGAATTATGGCCCCTGATTGTACGAAAAATCACGTTTTTAGCTTGTGGACCCTATAGAGGTCATAATTTTTATCCGATTTAAAAAACCATATTATTCTATCACCGTTACACCCTAAGTACGACTGAGTTGGAATTTCGTGAAAATCGGCCCAAAATTGACAGACAAAATGGCTGCCGTTCGTTCTCAAATAGCGTAAAAATATGGTATATCAAGGTTGTGGATCCTATAGAGGTCACAATTTTTATCCGATTTTGTTGTAACTTGAAATGTAAGTTTATAACACAAAGATCTCGGTTCCTTTCGATATTTGCGCATATCAAATTGTAATTTCCTGAATTATGGCCCTTGATTGTAGGAAAAATCACTTTCTTTTAGCTTGTTCTCTATCCATCTCTCGAAAATGTGGGCGTATCCTGCCTGGCAGCTGCTGGTTAGCTTGTGGACCCTATAGAGGTCATAATTTTTATCCGATTTAAAAAAACGTATTATTATATCACCGTTACACCCTAAGGACGGCTGAGTTCGAATTTCATGAAAATCGGCCCAAAATTGACAGACAAAATGGCCGCCGTTCGTTCTCAAATAGCGTAAAAATACGGTATATCAAGGTTGTGGACCCTATAGAGGTCACAATTTTTATACGCCCACATTTTCATGTGGACGTATTATGCCGTGGCCCCTGTCCGTCCGGACACTCTACAGGTCACAATTCTTATCCGATTTTGACGAAACTTTAAATATAGGTTTATCTCCAAAAGATCTTGGTTCCTTTCGATATTGGCATGTATCGGATCGAAACTTCATGGATTATGGCCACTGTTTGTACGAAAAATCACGTTTTTAGCTTGTGGACACTATAGAGGTCACAATTTTTATCAGAATTTGTTGTAACTTGAAATCTAAGTTGATAATCCAAAGATATTGGTTCCTTTCGATATTCGCGCATATCGGACCGTAACTTCCTGAATTATGGCCCCTGATTGTACCAAAAATCGTGTTTTTAGCTTGTGGACCCTATAAAGGTCATAATTTTTACCCGATTTAAAAAAAACGTTCTATTATATCACCGTTACACCCCAAGGATGGCTGAGTTCAAATTTCGTGAAAATCGGCCCGAAATTGAAAGACAAAATGGCCGCCTTTCGTTCTCAAATGAAATAGCGTAAAAATATGGTATATCAAGGTTGTGGACCCTATAGAGGTCACAATTTTTATCCGATTTTGTTGAAACTTGAAATGTAAGTTTATAACCCAAAGATCTCGGTTCCTTTCGATATTCGCGCATATCGGAATGTAACTTCCTGATTGTAAGGGGGGGTTGGGTGGCTGAATGGTTAGCACGTGCGCGCTGTACCATAAAGTCTGTCATTGAGTCAACTGGCGTGGTTTCGAATCCCCGGTTGTACGTGGCAAGGAGTAGGGTCGCCTGTCCAACCTCATGGGTTTTCTCCGGGTCCTCCGGTTTCCTCCCACTGCTAAAGACCCCTACGCGGAAGCGAATTATTGAAATAAAATTAAACCATGTGTAAATCCCGAAATGACCTAGTTTGTGTCGAGTGGACGTTAAACCCCATTTCTCTCTCTCTCTCTCTCCCTGATTGTACGAAAAATCGCGTTTTTAGCTTGTGGACCCTATAGAGGTCATAATTTTTATCTGATTTAAAAAAACGTATTATTATATCACCGTTACACCCTAAGGACGGCTGAGTTCGAATTTCGTGAAAATCGGCCCAAAGTTGTTGAAACTTGAATTGTAAGTTTATAACCCAAAGATCTCAGTTGCTTTCCTGGACTGTAACTTCCTGAATTATGGCCCCTGATTGTACGAAAAATCAGGTTTTTAACTTGTGGACCCGATAGAGGTCATAATTTTTATCCGATTTAAAAAAACTTTTTAATATATCTTAACTCTAGACAATATTATTACCTGTTAAACTTAAATCTTATATCATCCAATTTGTCTAAAGGCATGCCGAGTATACAAGTTTGTACAACATATTGAATCTTACATAATACTATGTCAGAAACCCCACACCTGGTACAGATTAAATTTTACAATTAATCTGTCACATAACATGTCCAAAGATGGGATAGAGTGTGTAAAATATAAAATTAAAATATGGAATCGAATACAATATTAAAATTTAGATCCCAAATGATATTGTATTACAGTATGTTCAAATGGTTTTCTCAGTTTTAAGAATTCAAGAAAGTATCTTTTGTTTTTCAGGTTTTCCCAGAACATTGACACAAGCCAAATCTTTATATGAAGAGGAACCAGTAGATGTCGTTGTAAATTTAAATGTACCATTTAATGTGATTATTGAGAGAATAGAGAAACGATGGACACATATACCCAGTGGTAGAATCTATCATACAGAGTTTAATCCACCAAAATTGCAGGTAAATGATGCACAGATTTCATATGAAAATCACTATGGAAGATATTCAACTTCAAACTGATAAAAATCAAATATAATGTTGTTTTTTTTTAATATTGTCTTTGCCCCTGTCCATCCATCCGTCAACAATTGTTTGTGGACACTCTACAGATCACAATTTTTATCTGATTTCAACGAAACTTGAAATATAGGTTTATCTCCGTAACTTCATGGATTATGGCCCTTGATTTGGACCATCTAGAGGTCACAATTCTGATCTGATTTTGATGAAACCTGACATGCATGTTTATAACCCAAAGATCTTGGTTGCTTTCGATATTTGTGCATATCGGATCGTAACTTCCTGAATTATTGTAGTACTACCGGACTTCTTTATTGGTTGTGTTTGTGATCGTAAATAACACTACAGTAATACTGATTTCCCAACTTTATTACTAAGTTGTACTGGCTTTCAGGTTCCTCGTTCTCAATGGTAATGACTGGTAAGAATTTCTGGGTGAGCTCTAATCTAGCTCTCCTCTACACCCTAATTTATACCCCCTACTTTCCCAGGTCTTCAATAACCTTGACGTGAATTTCCACGCCATATAAGGAATAAAACTCTATATTTCCCACAAACAAGACAGGCAACATTACCTATTTTTGGTCAACTGACCATAGGTCAATAAACAGCTAGAATTTGATGACTATTTTGACAATGATTATAATTTAACTAAAACATCACTGTTTTTTACGAACAACTATAACCACGTTCATTTAGTACTTATGATTTGACTTTATAGACCAAATTGAAGAGATAATTTTATAAAGAGCCAAAATTGTCTCAAGGGCCATAGTGCTACATTATGGCCACTGATTGTACGGAAAATTGTACGCTAATAGTGTAAAAACATGGTATATCAAGGTTGTGGATTCTCGAGGTCACAATTTTCACCTGATTATGATGAAACTTGAAATGCGTGATTATAACCCACAGATCTTGGTTCCTTTCGATATTCACGCATATCGGATTGTAACTTCCTGAATTATAGCACCTGATTGTACGGAAAAATCAAGTTTTTAGCTTGTGGTCCCTCTAGAGGTATCAATGGTTGAGTTTGAATTTCCTGAAAATTGCGCCCCTCGTACGCTAATAGTGTAAACTTCTGGTATATCAATGTTGTGGACCCTCTAGAGGTCACAATTTTGATCCGATTTTGATGAAACTTGCAATGCATGTTTATAACCCAAAGATCTTATTTGCTTTCAATATTTACGCATATCGGATCATAACTTCCTGAATTATGCCCCTTGATAGTACAAATATTGGAGGGGCCCCAATTTTTTTCCTATTTAAAAAAAAGGTGTCAATATATCACCGTTGCACACTAAGATCTTGGTTCCTTTTGATAATCGTGCATATCCAAATGTAACTTCCTGGATTATGGCCCCTGATTTTTCGAAAAATTGCATTTTTAGCTTGCAGATTTCTCTAGACGTCACAGGTTTTTTTTTCTGATTTTAAAAACCGTTTAAATATATCACCATTCCACCATAATGAAGGTTGAATTCGAATTTCCGGAAAATTGAAATGAAACTGCCCAACAAAAGTATGTATGTAATACGAAGGTTGTAGACCCTCTAGAGGTCACAATTTTTATCCGATTTTGATGAAACTTAAAACATATCTTTATATCCCAAAGATTTCAGTCTCTTTTGATATTTGCGTATTTCAGACTATAACTTTGTGGATTATGGCCCCTGATTGTACATAAAATCGCTTTTGTTTTTAGCTTGTTTTCTGTCCATCTCTTGCAAAATGTGGGCATATCTTGCCTGGCAACCGCTGGTTATATACTAAGCAGCAAAAGAAACGTCAGGTTGGTATTTTACTCTGAATAGAATGCATTGCATAAAACTTGCCAAATGTTTTTGTCCCCCGCCTTTCGAAGAAAGCAGGGGACTATTAAAATGGGTTCGTCCATCTGTCTGTCTGTCTGTCTGACCATCCGTCAGTCCGTCCGTCCGATTTCGTTTCCAGAGCATATCTCATAAACCAGTCAAGATAACTTTCTGAAACTTTGCACACATATCAACCTATTACAGTAGTTGTGCCTTTTGCTATTTAGGGATTTATATTTTTTGTGTTTCCATGGAAACAAATTTGACTTAGTTTTTGGTGTACAGTTTTGTTTCCGGAGCATATCTCATAAACCGTTCAAGATAACTTTCTGGGATTTATATATTTTTAGTTTCCATGGAAACAAATTTGACTTAGTTTTTGGTGTACAATTTCTTCCCGGAGCATATCTCATAAACCGTTCAAGATATCTTTCTGAAACTTTGCACTCACATCAAACTATTACAGTAGTTGTGCCTTTTGCTATTTAGGAATTTCTGGGATTTATATTTTTTGAGTTTCCATGGAAACAAATTTGACTTAGTTTTTGTTGTACAATTTTGTTTCCGGAGCATATCTCATAAACCGTTCAAGATATCTTTCTGAAACTTTGCACACACATCAACCTATTACAGTAGTTGTGCCTTTTGCTATTTAGGAATTTCTGGGATTTATATTTTTTGTGTTTCCATGGAAACAAATTTGACTTAGTTTTTGGTGTATAATTTTGTTTCCGGAGCATATCTCATAAACCGTTCAAAATATCTTTTTGAAACTTTGCACAGACATCTACTCATTACAGTAGTTGTGCCTTTTGCTATAGGAATTTCTGGGATTTATATTATTTGTATTTCCATGGAAACAAATTTGACTTAGTTTTTGTTGTACAATTTTGTTTCCGGAGCATATCTCATAAACCGTTCAAAGATATCTTTTTGAAACTTTGTACAGACATCTACTCATTACAGCAGTTGTACCTTTTGCTATTTAGGAATTTCTGGGATTTATATTTTTTGTGTTTCCATGGAAACAAATTTGACTTGATTTTTGGTGTACAATTTTATTTCCGGAGCATATCTCATAAACCGTTCATAATATCTTGGTACTTATTTTGAATTTCTCAGATTTGATAATTTTATGTGTTTCCATGGAAACACATTTGACTGTTCAAAATACCTTTAAAATAATTTTACCCATTATTTTATTTTCTGAAATCCAGCCTTCCGTCCAGATTTTGTTTCTGGAGCATATTTTATTATCTATTCGAGAAATCTTTTTGAAATTTTGTACAAATATTAACCTATTATAGTATTTTATTTTCTGATGTATAAGTTTATTTTTAACATACAGCAGCTGATTGAGGTAGGCAAAGGTTGTTGTGCAAACCTTACAGGGTGTAGCGACCCTGCCTTGCCGATCTACTGTAACCAGAGTATGAAATTCTGTGAATTGATATTCCATGTGTCGGAATAGGAGATTTGTCTAAAGATTTAGACGCAGGGCGCAACTGATGGTGCAACCCCGACATGCTGAACTACTGTGCTCAGGATATATATATTCTTACTAGTTTAAACTTTGAACACACATCATCCTATTACAGTAGTTGTGCCTTTTGCTAATTAGAAATTTGTCGGATTTAATAACTTTTGCGTTGCCATGGAAAAAAATTATCTGTTGAATGATTTTTACTACACATTTGAATTATTTTTATACGCCCACATTTCATGTGGACGTATATTGTCGTTGCCCCTGTCCGTCCGTCCACAATTGTTTGTGAACAGTCTACAGGTCACAATTTTTATCCAATTTCAATGAAACTTGAAATATAGGTTTATCACCCTAAGATCTCGGTCCCTCTCGATATTGGCATCTATTGGACCGTAACTTCATGGATTATGGCCCCTGATTGTACGAAAAATGACATTTTTGGCTTGTGAACACTGTAGAGGTCACAATTTTTATCCGATTTTGTTGAAACTTGAAATGTAAGTTTATAACCCAAAGATCTCGGTTCCTTTCGATATTCGCGCATATCGGACCATAACTTCCTGAATTATGGCCCCTGATTGTACGTAAAAACGTGTTTTTTGGCTTGTGAACCCTATAGAGGTCATAATTTTTATCCGATTTAAAAAAACGTATTATTATATCACCGTTAAACCCTAAGGACGGTTGAGTTCGAATTTCGTGAAAGTCGGCCCAAAACTGACAGACAAAATGGCCGTCATTCATTCTCAAATAGCGTAAAAATATGGTATATCAAGGTTGTGGACCCTATAGAGGTCACAATTTTTATCCGATTTTGTTGAAACTTGAAATGTAAGTTTATAACACAAAGATCTTAGTTCCTTTCGATATACGCGCATATCGGACCGTGACTTCATGAATTATGGCCCCTGATTGTACGCAAAAACGCGTTTTTTGGCTTGTGGACCCTATAATTTCGTGAAAATCGGCCCAAAACTGACAGACAACATGGCCGCCCTTCGTTCTCAAATTGCGTAAAAATATGGTATATCAAGGTTGTGGACCCTATAGAGGTCAGAATTTTTATCCGATTTTGTTGAAACTTGAAATGTAAGTTTATAACACAAAGATCTCGGTTCCTTTCAATATTCGCGCATATCGAATTGTAATTTCCTGAATTATGGCCCTTGATTGTAGGAAAATCACTTTCGTTTTAGCTTGTTTTCTATTCATCTCTCGAAAATGTGGGCGTATCCTGCCTGGCAGCCGCTGGTTTGGTATTTAATTATTATTCTAGAGCATATCCCAGAAACTGTTCAAGATACCTTTTTAACACTTTTACATTCATCAACCTATTATTTTATTTTTTGATGACCTTCCTTCTGTCCCGATTTCATTTCTAGAGCATATTTCATTATCTGTTCAGAGAAATCTTTTTAAAACTTTATACAAACATCAAACTATTAAAGTATTTTATTTTCTGATGTATAAGCTTAATGTTTAACATACAGCAGCTGATTGAGGTAGGCAAAGGTTGTTGTGCAATCCTTACAGAGAGTAGCGACTTTGCCTTGTCGAGCTACTATGATCAGAGTATGAATCTTCTGACTAGTTCCATTGATATTCCAAGAAGTTGTTATTCCTTATGCCTTCCAAACAAGTTCAAGGGCGCGGGATGGTGATGACTAGTCATCTTGTTTTGGTTGAGTTCGAATTTCATGAAAATCAGACCAAAACTGCCGGACAAAATGGCCGCCCTTCATTCTCAAATATATCAAAGTTGTGGACCCTCTAGAGGTCACAATTTTGATCTCATTTTGATGAAACTTGAAATGCATGTTTATAACCCAAAGATCTTGGTTCCTGTCGATATTGAAGCATATCGGGTAGTAACTTTCTGATTAATGGCCCCTGATTGTATGAAAAATGATGTTTTTAGCTTGTAGAGGTCACAATTTTTATCCGATTTAAAAAAAACATGTGAATATATCACCATTACACACTAAGATCTTGGTTCCTTTTGATAATCGCGTATATCCGAACGTAACTTCCTGGATTATGGCTCCTGATTGTTCGAAAAATTGCATTTTTAGCTTGCCGAATCTCTAGAGGTCACAATTTTTTTTTCCGATTTTGAAAACCATTTAAATATTTCACCATTCCACCATAATGAAGGTTGAATTCGAATTTCGGGAAAATCGAAATGAAACTGCCCAACAAAATGGCCACTCTTTGTACGCAAATTTTGTAAAAGTATGCAATACGAAGGTTGTGGACCCTCTAGAGGTCACAATTTTTATCCGATTCTGATGAAACTTAATGTATATCTTTATACCCCAAAGGTCTTAGTCCCTTTTGATATTTGTGCATTTCAGACCATAACTTTCTGTTTGTTTTTAACTTGTTCTCTATCCATCTCTTGCAAAATGTGGGTGTATCCTGCCTAGCAGCCGCTGGTTAAATTTTATATATCAAGCTGCTTACACATGGTACAATACATAATAGAATAAAGTCATTCTCTCAATTACTCAATTGTGACGATTGCTCACAAATATGATAGTTTTGTAGCTTTGGGTTTTGGACCTTCAATTATCTAATTGGTCAAATATGATGTAAAGAATTATAAAGATTGGTTAATTAAGCCAAATGATGCAATCGTAATTTTCCAATCACGTGTTAAACATAATATTGATATTCTCATTTCCACGGAACCAGCTAATGTTTACCAAATTATAACTCTTTTTATATAACAATCTGTCATTCTTTCACTAATTTTTTTTAAGTACATATTAGACAATATGTTTAAATCCCACAACTTGCCAAAGACATTAATTAATAGAATATAATGCCATCATTTTTCTCTATTCCTTGTCTATAAATTTGAAAACAATGTGGCAATGACAATATTTCTACATATTCTACATCTAAATGGATATTTAGGTTCCCAATGATAGAATTGAGAAAGAGAACGGGGTTGAAGATTAGAGGGAGAAATCTATTCAAATTTTTATCCTTCCATCCATCATATTTATTTCTTTATGAATGTTACGTTTAGCCCTAGCCCGATAAAAGTAGAAAGTTAAACCATATTTGATATCATTTCTTTATGAATTTAATTGATATTTTTTTTTAAAAATGACTATATTTTTTTTTTAGGGTAAAGATGATAAAACTGGTGACGATCTGATACAGCGAGATGATGATAAACCAGAAACTGTTCGTAAACGTCTAGAAACATTTCAAAACCTTACACAACCTGTCTTAGAATTTTATAGGTTGGTATATATTCTTTAATTTTGAGTCCTTTGAGTTGTTCCCCAATTATTTTCTGCATTTCCAAACTATTTTTATATGCCCACATTTTCACATGGATGTATATTGTTGTCACCCCTATTCGTCCATCCATTCACATTTTGTTTGTGGATAATCAACAGGGCCCTTATTCACGAAAACTTAAACTAAGTTACAACTGAAATTTTAAGAAATACTGCAACTTCATTGGATATACTGATTTTACTGGTCAGCCAATCGAATTGCAGTATTTCTTAAAATTTAGATTGTATCTTAGTTTAAGTTTTCGTGAATAAGGGCCCAGGTCGCAATTTTTATCCGATTTTGATGAAAATTGGAATATAGATTTATATCCCAAAGATCTCAGTTTCTGTCAATATTGTCATGTATTGGATGGTAAATTCATGGATTATGGCCCATGATTGTCCAAAAGATTTTGTTTTAGCTTGTGGACCTTCTAGAGGTCACAATTTTTATCCATTTTTAAAATCCGTTCATCAATTTTACTGATACACACCTTAATCAGAGTTGACATAGAATTTTGTGAAAAGTGGACCGAAACTGCATGACAAAATGACCCCTCCCCGTACGTATATAGTGTAAAAATAGGTAATACCAAGGTTGTGGACCCTCTAGCTAGAGGCCACAATTTTTATATGCCCACATTGGAATGTGGTCATATATTGTCGTCGCCCCCGTCCATCAGTCCGTTGGGCATCCACAAGCAAGTGGCTAAAATTAATATCTGATTGACTTTAAATTTATACACAGTGTTTAAGGTCGTGAGACAAAGAAGCCCAGTGATTTTCAATGATTTCCGATAATTACTACCAGAGTTATGGCCCTTGATCACTTTGAAAAGTCTTGTGGATGCTCTAGAGGCTAAAGTTAATATCTGATTGACTTTAGATTGATACACAGTGTTAAAGGTCTTGAGAAGAACTAGTATATTGATTTTCATTGATTTCCGATAATTACTGTCTGAGTTATGGCCCTTGATCACTTTGAAAAATCTTGTGGATGCTCTAGAGGCTAAAGTTAACATCCAATTGACTTTAGATTGATACACCAAGTTTAAGGTTTTGAAACAAACAAGTATATTGATTTTCAATGAATCTTGATAATTACTGTCTGTCTTATGGCCCTTGATCACTTTGAAAAATCTTGTGGATGCTTTAGAGACCATAGTTATCATCTGATTGATTTTATATTTATACACCATGTTTACGCCTATATATATTGTTTCGATTGATTTTAAGTTGATACACAGAGTTTAAGGTCTTGAGACGAACAAGTACATGTGTATTATGACCAGGTAGTATTTAAAACAGCCATTCACCCAATATTAAAGATGGGTTCCCAGAAAAGTATTTATCGGGTGGTTGTTTCCAATAAAAGTATGGCAATTTTGGTATATATGGAAAGTAGAGATATCCAATCTTACTAGAAAAATACTGGATTCCCCAAAAAAACATTCATGGAGCGTATACAGGACAAAAATTTAAAGGTTCCCCCTAATTAACAGCCCGTCGATTAGGAACGTCTGCACGCGGGATGTCAAAGGTCACGAGCGAACATTGAGCGCTTGATGTACAAGTTGATAAACTTTATGAAGAGTTAGACGTACAATACTTTCTGAGATAAAAATGACGGAAAAAGACACGGGTAGTGGATAATCCAAGAATTTAATTAGGATTCGATATTTGTAATAAATAGTAAGCGATTAAAGACAACATCGTCTTATGTATGCAATGAATTCTCCTCTGACTCCCAAGACATGACGTAAACATGACCTGGTTTGATCAAATTTTAATAGCCGGGCATTCCTTCGCTATTACAATGTTTGAGAAGGATTTGAAGCATAATTATGACAAATTAATTAGTTTGAATATGTTTTTGGTCCATATATACCATTTAATCACCAAGTTTGTACGCGGGAACCCATCTTTAAGGTAGTAGACTTAAACATAACTAGGCACCCAAGAAGGATTATGTAAAGTAAATTAACAATGGTCAGCTATGACAGATATAATGGACAATAGTAGTAATGAGTTAATCCACCTATTACCTAATCAAGGCCTAATTAGTCACTCTAGTAAATGAAGGAATGGATGTCACTTAAATACTCCCCCTTTTTTTTAACAACAATAAAATATTTAAATATATATAATATTATTGTTTATTATTACCAAGTAACCTCTAGTATATTAAAGGAAAGATTGTAGATGGTAGGTAGTTGACCACAGGCAGGCCTCAGGGCATACATAAGGGCAGGTCTCTGATAAGTTATTTCTTAGACACTGTTCCTTATTAAGTAACCTAGCCTGTGGGTCATTATTGTAGATATATTATTGTTAAACATGCATTATGCAAGAGCTAAATCTGCCTACTGCAGGTCTTCCTTTAGGCCTGAAATATTTTCTAGAGTATTAATTAGACATTAATTAACTGATCCAGGCCTTAATCAACTCTCGATGGCATCAGATTTCTCCGATATTAAATAGATTAGAATGGTTCAGCGATACTTTGATTTAATCAAATATGGAGGACCGAGACTTAGCTTCGATCAACCAGTACGGTGGTTGAAATTATTGCACACGTCTGTCAAACCTTCAAAGGCTAATATCTTCGCTTGCAATAGAGTAATTAAAATGAAATTTTCAAATTATTCATTTTACATCATCAACTTTCGAACTATTATAGCAAGAATGGCTAGTTCTTTATCTAAATCTTACATAATGTATCTTACAAGAATAGAGAACTATACCAAGAAGAAGTGAGTTGTTGGGTATTGTATGTTCAATCTTACACCCCAACTAGATTGAACATACAACCGATCGTCGAGGTTAGACTGATAAGCAGGTCCATAAACCCCGGGTGATAGTAAAAATATGCAACAACTCATGTGGGTGTATGTTTCGTTGCCTGGCAACCAATCTTTGATAACTTGAACAGCTAAATCATGATATTAAATGGTTTGTATACTAAATGTTAGCATGGGGCAGAACTAGAAGCCAAACATATTCTAATGGTTTTCTGATAATTACTTAAAGCAGCTAAATCTCTATTCTTTGGCACCTAGAAATGGACATAAATGGGTAGCAACGCATAAAATAATGTAATATGAATGTATATAAACAATTGTTTCTGTAATTTCTAATCAGTTATGTTTGGCGAAATACACAAAGAGTCTAAATTGAATAGCAGTTTTTGGTGTCTACACTACTAGTATTCTCCCATGGGTGTTATTTAGTCTCATTCATCGAGTCGCTTCATTACAAATGGCACTCTAAAGCCTTCTGCCACCCGATTTGTATGCCAATTTTGAAATTTTCATTTTGTCTTCAGTACCGGTATTAGATATCAGAAGTGCATCTTTTCACGGTAGGATAACAACATCAGTGTTGATTTAAATTACCTTGATAGAGTTCGAAGATGAACATTTTCTGCTTAGGCTAAGCAGAGATAAGTAATTTGATTGGCCGAGACTTCGAAGATTGATAACTTTGATTCTAATTTAGTGAGAGTGGTGAAATTGTGTGTATAGTTTCATTACATCAATACCTTGACTAAGTTCGATAATGAGCATTTTCTGCTTAGGCTTAGTAGATACTTCAATCTGATTGGTCAAGACTTTGGAACACAATAACTCTTCTTCTAATTGAGGTAGAAAGTTCAAACTTGGTGTAGGTGTTTATTTGGCGATTGCCTTGACAATGTTCAATCATGCGCATATTTCCACTAATTTGATTGGTTGAAACTTTGGAACACGATAACTTTGGCTCTAATTGGATGAAAGTGATAAAACTCAAACTATAAATTCATTATATCAACATCTTGACTAAATCCGTAAATGGAAAGATTACAAAATCCTATTCTAAATATACAGAAAGACGCTTCGACTCTCATACGTCTTGTCTGCAATATCACGTTAGTGGAAGCAGACATTCAAGAATCAAATTTTATCATCCTCCCCTTGACTAAGTTCAATGATGGGAATTTTCTGCTTCAGCTAAGCATATTGATCGGTCAAGACTTTGGAACATAACAACTCTGATTTAAATTGAGGTAGAATGTTTAAACTTGGTGTAGATGTTTATCTGACTGAGTTCAATGTCTTGACTAAGTTCAATGACTAACATTGTCCGCTAAAGCTGAGCAGAGCTACGCAATTTCATTGGCTGTTGCTTTGGGCAAGATAACTTTGATTCTAACTGATGGAGAGTGATGACTGAGTTCTGCTTAAATTATGATTAGATAATCAGTTTGATTGCTTGATACTTTTCAAAAAGATAGATGTGCAATTAATTAATGTGTCATCTATATTTTTGGGATATCAGCAGGGGACATCAGCCTCACTGTTGGCTTGTTTAGCTTATTGTCTGTCCACCTTCTGCAAAATGTGGGCATATCTTGCATGGCAACTGCAATTGAAAGCTGTTAATTGAAAAAAAAGGGCATTGTGTAGCTATTACCCTGCTAAAAACATTGTATCTTCAGTTCAGCATATTTCTTTTTACCTTTCCTGAAATTTCCCTCTCCACAAAAGGCCAGGGCCAGATTAGTGAAAACTCTTATTAACACATCAAAGTATTATAGTTTTCTATCAATAATGTTTTGAATCTTGTTTTACAGATCAAAAAATATTCTTGCTGAATTCACTGGAAGTTATTCTAATGAAATCTGGCCAGAAGTTCACAAGTTATTGTCCACCTATAAATCTCCTCTACAGTATACAGAATATAAGTAATTTTATACCCGTTATAAATATCTATCGGTGCTTATTGTGCACACCAAATTCTATGTTATAATAAATCTAATCATTTCAACCATGAGTCTGATAACAACATCTTTGGTTGTGATAGATTTATGATATTTATAAAAAACTTACTGTGATATTATAAACATGATTGATTTCAAATTGGTCAGTAGATTTTGTGACATTTTAACTTTATCTTGAATTCTTTTAATAGAACTTTAAATTTTAGTCATTAAAATGTGTTCATCTTTGAATCCGGTAACAAGAAAACTTTTAAAAAATGAATTATCATATTTTTAGAAACACCATTAATATATAGATAGCCCTTTTACAAAATATTTGTATTAAAAATATGATGTTCTATGTCATTGTTGGCAAAGGTTCCTTTTTTTATACGCCCCCATTTTCATGCGGACGTATATTGTCGTCGCCCCTGTCTGTTCAGACATCCTCCCATCCGTTCACATTTTTTCTTTGTGGACACTATACAGGTCACAATTTTTATCCAATTTTGACGAAACTTCAAAAATATAGGTTTATATCCCAAAGATATCGGACAGGACCTTCCTGAATTATGACCCATAATTGTACGAAAAATCAGGTTTTTAACTTGTGGACATTCTCTAGAGGTCACAATTTTTATCCGATTTCGATGAAACTTAAAATATATGTTCATATATCGTTTATATCCCAAAGGTCTGTGTTCCTTTCGATACGGATGAGGGCCTGACAAGGACAGCTGTCTAGTCGCTCGGATGGGATGAAAAACTGAGGTCCCGTGTACACATTGGCGTGCACGTAAAAGTTCCCTTGACAGTTGGAATTGAGTAGGCAGCAGTGCCGCTGTCCGGGCAAAATTTCACGTCTTCATAAGCCCACTGCGGAGCAGAACAGTAGGATGTTAAACCTGTATCGGACTGTAACTTCCTTGATTATGGTCCCTGATTGTACGAAAAATCGCTTTTTCTTTTTAGCTTGTTCTCTGTCCATCTCTTGCAAAATGTGGGGATATCTTGCATGGCATTTGCTTGTTCTTCTCTAAGACAGATTAATCAAGTTGTAAGAAAATAACAAATGTAAGTTCAAATTTAGAAAGTATTTGTACAAGGTAACGGTATGTCAATATTTGTAAACTTGATATACCAGTAGTTTATGATTGGCAGTATGTGGTGTAAAGGTCAACACAAGCCTTTCTGGGCTTATTGTCATTTTTTGTATCTGAATACCAATCAATTACCATGTAACAAATTAAATCAAGAGCCATAAAAACTTCAAGGATTATGTAGAAGTGATAATAAGTACTGGTCTACCACTCTGTCATAAAATTATTATGCTTTTCATAGCAATAATATCTCAAAACATACATTAGAAAATGTTTTTAAATTAATTTTATTTGTAATATTAGTTGTTGGTCCCCTTTTTTACAAATATGTTTAAAAATTTGCTCAATTTATCGAGGCTCAGAAGTTATTTAACAGAAATCATGTTTATTGTTATATTAAAAGAGTTCTACCATTTCTTTATAATCAGTTATATCAAATATGGTCGCTTGCATTCTTTCAGAAACACAATTATTGTCCCCGGCCTATCGAAGAAAGCAGGGGACTTTTAAAAGGGGTTCGTCCTTCTGTCTGTCTGTCTGTCCGTCTGTCTGTCGCACCTTTTGGGACACAATAACTCTCCTTCTAATTGAGCTAGAATGTTCAAACTTGGTGTGGGTATTTATTAAGTCAATACCTTGATGGAGTTCAAAGATGAACATTTTCTGCTTAGGGTAAGCAGAGATAAGCAATTTGATTGGTTGATGCTTTGGAACACGATAACATTAGTTCTAATTAAGTGAGAGTGATGAAATTTGGTGTATAGTTTTATTACATCAATACCTTGACTAAGTTTGATAATGAGCATTTTCTGCTCAGGGTAAGCGGAGCGATAAGCAATTTGATTGGTGGATACTGTGAAACACAATAACTCTCCTTCTAATTGAGGTAGAATGTTCAAACTTGTTGTAGGTGTTTATTAGGTGAATGCCTTGATGGAATTCGATGATAAACATTGTCTGCTTATAATTATGGTAAGCAGAGATAAGCAATCTGATTGATGCTTTGGGGCACAATAACTTTGGTTTTATTTAAGTGAAAGTGATGAAACTTGGGATATGTATTCCTTATAACCTAAGGAAGACAACTGCATGTCCCAACCCCCAGGGACAGAGCCACGCCCAATTTTTGTGTTTATCGTTTACAGTCCGCAATTCTGAATGGATCAACTTGGCATATGTGATCCTTGTAACCTGAGGGCGTCAACTATTGATTTTGGTGAATGCCCCAACCTCCAGGGGCAGAGCCACGCCCAATTTTTTCCTTTAGCACCCAAAGGCCTCAATTCTGAATGGTAAACTTATACCCTAAGGACGGCAACTATTGATGTTGGTGCACAACCCCCTCCCCCACCCCCACTCCCTGCCCTTTCAGCGGTGCCACACCCACTTTTTGTTGATATTTTGTCTGTAAATGATATACAGGTTGCAATTATTAATAGATTTGGATCCAATTCGGAATGATCCAGCATAGGGTTGTACCTATATATATTGGTCTATGTCCAACAACCAGGGGCAGAGCCACGCCCAATTTTTGTATTTTTTGTCTACAGGCTGGAATTCTTAATGGATCATCTTGGATCTTGGCATATTTATTCCTTATACTGTAAGGATAGCAACTATTTTTTTTGGTGCATGCCCCGACCCCCAGGGATGTGGTACCACACCCTCTTTTTTGTTAGTTTTTATCGGTAAATACTCTATAGGTTGCAATTATTAACAGATTTTGTTCAAATTCAGCATATGAATCATTTCAATAACAGGATGGTACCTATTTACATTGTTCCAAATCAAAACCCCAGGGGCGGAGCCATGCCCAATTTTTGTATTTACCGTCTACAGACTGCAATTCTGAATGGATCATCTTGGAACTTTGGATATTTATTCCTTATACCGTAACGACAGCAACTATTTATTTTGGTGCATGCTCCGATTCCCTGGGGCATTTTCACAGCCACTTTTTTGTTAATATTTTGTCTGTAAATTTGGCATAACAAACCCAACGCCTAGCCTTCTTTGCCTCTTGTCATATTACAGCCATTTCATATTTCATTCTCTTTATTTTAAAAAGTACCATATCAATCAAAGTAGGAATGTGGACGTATATTGAGGCATTAGCAATGCTCTTGTTGTTGTTTTTTTATCAGAAAAAATAGTGTATATACATGTACTAGACCTTTTATGAAGCATTTACTTTTATATGACAATAGCTAATTATGTGGAAATAATAAACAATCTTTATTAAAATACATTAGGAAGAAATTACATGCTTGTTGTAAAAAGACGGTTATAAGTAGGTCTTATTTAGATCAATCATACTTTTTAAAATGTTTTTCTTTTAATCACTGTATGACTTAAACTGTAATCTAATTATTCTCTTTCTAAAATATATGCAAATAAGCATTAGCACTCTGAAGGTCTTGACCAGTTGATAAAACAATAATTTTCGATTTGGAGTGATTTGACTATACACTTACATTGTAAATTTCAAATTAGATTGTATGCAAAATTTGGGACAGTTCTGCCAAGCCATCACTGGCATGTCAATTTAAGAGTTGTACCAATTTATTAGTGATTAGAGTTTAAAATACAATATGTGACACTGTGTACCTATATTTAGATATACTGATGGGCAATAAGTTACAGGATAATTGAATATAAGAAAATATGATATACTGTAATTAGGTATGTTGTTATTTTATATATTTCATATACATAAACTGATTCATCCATTATAATTTTTATAAACTTTTTGTATACATTGATGATTTTAATAAATAATAGTCCTGTTTGTACATTTTCTTCTGTGAATATAAAGCATAACACTATATTTATTGTATCCCTTCTTTTGAAGACTATCAAAATGGGTTTATCTGTTTTTGTTTGATTCAAATGGAGTGAGAGTGGTAAAAATTTGTGTATAATTTCATTACTTCAATTCCATGATGAGCATTTTATACCTAAATAGAGACTTCAGTATGATTGACCAAGACTTTGGAACACAATAGCTCTCCTTCTAATTGAGGTAGAATGTTTAAATTTGATGTAGGTGAATGCCTATAAGCCCCCATCACACCCAAAAGGTCCCAAAAACGCCCTACCCCAACCAGAAAGTCGTAAAACGGGTTATGATCAGAATAGAATGTGTAAATAATGTCTATAATAGGATTCTAGTTTGTTCATAAACAGTCCTCAATATGTCCATCTCGTCTGTACCCCCATCCACAGTCAGTTCATAATCATATCAAATTCAGAAGGAGTAAATTTGCCGTTTCCAAAAAAAGTAGTCTACGCCCGTCTGTAGGCCCAGTCAGTTTAAACCCATTTGTAGCTAGTTCTACCTCGTTTCCAACTGGTTCTAACTAGTTTGTAACCCGACCACCCCGTTCAAAGACAGTTCAATGTGGACAATTTTGAACTAGCTCCAAGTTCTAAAGCACCCATCAAAGCCCATACGAGCCACAGGCACCTGTAACGTGTAAAATGTTTCAAAAATAACATTTCTAACATTTCAATTTCAAACTCAGGGGCAAATAACTCGTCTGAAACTGATTCTCTTTCAGTGGATGTAATAATACCAAGGTAAGAAACGGATTGGAATTAAGTAATTGGGCTCAAAGTTCACTACTCTAGATTCCGTCAACCAGTGGCAATACTCACTAATTTTCGCTGTGTAGACAGTAAAAAATCATCGTAGACTCGATGACTTGGTTAGATTAAGGCAGCACAATAATCTGTACTACTATTCCTGAACTAAATTTGCCCTATCTGTCAGAGTAAAACCAATTGTAATTGGCTAAGTAGTTTTCACTGCACGAACCGCACTTTTCAAGATACAGAAAGCAGACTTTTTTCCCCACAGGTTTTGATTTTATTCGCATTGAAGATACCAAACAGCAATCAGTCGTACCGCCTGTTTTAGCTTGATTCTATTATGACAAAGGGAGAAGATCTACTTCATATTTAAATAAACTTAATTAAATCAATCTGTCCATAATATCACATGTAATTTATTGGACGTTAAATTTGTAATAAACAAAAATGTTAATATTCATTGTCATTCCGGTGTTTGTAAAGAGTGGCCCTACAGGCACTTTAACCCAATTTCGCACCATTCTAGGCAGTTGCTGCAATAGAAATGCTGACCACGGTTTATGGTCAGTCTAGACGTATATTAACAACAAAAAAGGTCTTAGTCCGAAATCCGTGCCCAAATGGGTCAAATTGGCAAAAATCCGAAATGGCCGCCAGTTTTGACTGGAAAATGCCAATTTTTATCCACTTATCATAATATGATCGAGTTGGTATCAAAATATATCCTCTCGGGGAAGCTGAATCCATTTCCATGCACATTTTGTTGATTAGTTATACCAAGGATTCAATATTGGGAAATACTTCCAGATGGCGGGAAAATTCGAATTTTACAAAATGACCACATTTGGTGTCAAAATATACGTTTTGGAGGCAGCTGATTCCATTTTCGACACATTTTTTCAACTTGGTAATTAACTGGCTGCCCTCGGTCAAAATATGTGGAAATGCCATTGGAGATTTGGGGATTAAGATTTCGAGTAGTCGAGTCCGCTTCAGATCTAATACGATGGCATTTATCAAGCATCAACTAAATTTTATTAAGACACTCTGACCGACCACTGCTCACTACAGGAGCAGCATGGAAATGGATTCAGCTTCCCCGAGAGGATATATTTTGATACCAACTCGATCATATTATTATAAGTGGATACAAATTGGCATTTGACCCATTTGGGCACGGATTTCGGACTAAGACCTTTTTTGGTGATAATATACGTCTAGACCGACCATAAACCGTGTCCTGGGTTAAGTTTTATATATTTGATTCTCTTTGACAAGAGATCAAAAACAGTGTTTTCCATTCTCCAAAAGATTCTAAAGGCAAGAAATTTATCAGACCAAGCTACTATGCATTTCCTGATTTGAGATTTTAGATTATTATGTAATTTTTTGGAATTAGTTCTACTTGGTTGTTCTCGAAATTGTGGTCAAAAACGAAAAAGTTTTTTAAGATTTTTATCTTCAAGTAAAAATACTAGTCCAAATACGAAATACCAGATACCATGTTACGTATCACTGATTGCTCTTTTCAATTATACAAATAACATTTATATATTTGCTTAACTTTACAAAATAAGATTAAAGTTGCAGTGAAGGGGGGGGGGGGGGCTAAACTAAACTAAAATAAAGATAAAGATACGGGGCTTAATCAAAAATTCTCTATGTCCATACTAAAAAATGTATTGTCATTCCTCTCTTTAAATATAATTATTTATTTGTTGGACACAATGCTTATATATTGTTGTTGTTTTTTTTTAAATGGATCAAAGTTAATTAGACTGTACTCAACTCTTGTTTATAGAGAGACCGGAAAGAGTGGGGGTGTTCAAAATATCAAAATACGGGTATTAATACGAAATTCGAGTTATTGTGTTATAAATTACTGGAAAGTATATCTCTTGGGCTCTTTGAATCTGTCAATTATTTCCTGGCACATTCATGATTACGCACGGTCGTCTAGATAGTTTCTTATAGTGTGCCAGTTTGATTTACTGATATCGTGCGGTGAATATCCTTATAGTGTGCTGGTTTATAGTGTGCCGGGTTTCCATATATGTTAATAAGTCACGTGATATCCTACATTTGCATATGAAAGTTGATAATGTGCGAAAGATGTTATGTAGAAAGCTTGAAGGACAAATGGGACGTGGCAGAGCGCAAATGTAAAATGTAATGAGAGAAATGTAAAGTGTTGACACGTCAAAAAATTGTACATACCCGTCTCGCTAAATTGTACGGGATGCTACGTTTCGTGTGTGCAGAATGACTTGACCTGATGTTTAGATATTGATGCGTATCCGTTCTCTTATAAAACAAGTCCGTTTCTATTTCACCACTATCCGAAAGATCTTAGCAAATATGTAAATGTAAATAAAATACAGATTTTTCCATCCAAATCTTAGTATTTTTGGTATATAAACCTGAGAGTTGAATTTAGAAACTTAAATATATATATAATAAAAATAATACCCGCGGTCATGAAACAATAAACGAGACAATGGGGGGTAGCTCCCACCAAGGATATATCTCGAGAACAAAATAATACAGAGGGTATGCGAAACCTCTCCCAGAATTGTACACGATTCGAAAGCAGTATCATTTCTCGGACTTACCTATCCAATATTGTGCACAAAACAATAGACATGTACCAGTACTTCTAAATATTTCGCACACGTTATATTGGTACATTGTTAAAAATAATAAGGTAGTTTATACCAATTCAGTTGGAAAGTAGTTGCCACCTGATAACATCCAAATAGTGTGGACCATTACACCAATTCAAGTGGAAACTAGTAGCCACTTCCGTAATGTAACCTGCCTGATATACATGTATTACATTCGGATGAGTATAATGTTACACTTAGATTAAAGGAGCTAAATCGCTAATATTTGGGACCTAGGAATTTGACCCAAATGGGTCGCAACGCATATAATAATGTACTCTGATTGTATATAAACTGATTTACATTCAATTGTTTCCGTTTTGACTCTTAATTTCAAATCAGTTATGTCCAGCGAAATACGGCCTGTGTCTCAACCCTATAGCAATTTCTAGCGTCTGGTTATTCCAGTCTATTGAGCAGGTTCTCCAGTTGAATATGTCTAGCCTCGTTCTTTCTGGTCACTTGTTGCAAATGACGCTAAAACGCACGATGGTACACGATTCGTGTACCAATGGTAAAATGTTTATTTTGTCTTAAATATTGGATATCAGAAGCCTGTCTTTTCTTGGTAAGATCACAGCATCAACGTTGATTTGAATTGACAAATAATTCGTATTTTCAACGTGTATGACTTTGGATGATATTGAGTTAGAGACTTAATATAGCTACTTTAAACATTACCCCTTAAGGATGTATTGTAAATTACTTCTCCATTTTAATTATTACTCCAACGTTGGTGTAATTTGTTTTGCTGAAAACACTGTTGTAGAACATTGTAGGTTGGATATTTATTTCTATTGAAGGATAACGTTGCCAATATTATTTCAATGTTCACGGTACAAACTGAACATGTCAGCAGTTCAAAATACGTATTTTAGTTTTACAAATTGCTATTTTTATTCCTCCACAATACCATTGTCACAGTAAATACAAAGTACAGGGGCCTACACTTTTCAATAATACAAAATACAGTATAATAGTTATTTTGCACATTACATTCTGTATTTAAATAGACAAATGCATAATAGAACTTGGCGTATTAGAACATATACCTGATATGGGATCTACGACGAAGCTCATTTGCATATACGGAATAAAGTCCGGACTAGGACTGAAATTAACAATTTACGCGATCGATCTACAAGGTCAATGGGCAGAGATCAAACTGGCATGCAATAAGTCACCATATAATAAATCAGCTCACCATGCAATAAGAGCGAATCAAGCCAGCATGCAATAAGGAATTCGCTGGATGACCATGACTTCTGTGAAATCGTGCGCTCGGTATGCCAAATCCGAACCTTCGATAAGCCCCACATTTTTACTTCATACCCCCCCCCCCCCCCACACACACACACTTTTTTTCAAAGTAGGGAGAAAGAGGGTCGGATGTTACGAAAAACCGAATTCCCGTTTATACATTGTCATGGACGTAAAAGATCCCTTGGAAGTTGGAATTCGATATAAAAATAGGCCATAGTGCCACAGCCCGGGCAAAATTTCCCTTATAGTACACTGTATGGCGTATGTCCGTCTTCATTATCCCGGTCGGACCAGAACAGTAAGACGTCAAACACAATTTCATTTCAGTTCATTTCATTTTTTAAAAGTATGTAAATATAAATTTGAAAAGAGAAATAACTTGCTTTTTAGTGATACGCAACATGATATCTAGAATTCGTATTAAGACTGGTACATGTATGTTTACTTTAAATATCACCCACCCCCGTCATTTAATAGAGTTTCGTACCACCCGACTTTGATTGTTTTTCTTTCCCCTTATCAGTGATGCAGGACGGATGGCCTGACAGGGACAACTGTCTATTCATTCGGATGGGACAAAAAAACGAGGTCCCGTGTACACATTACTGTGCACGTAAAAGATCCATTGGCAGTATATAGCGCCGCTGTCCGGGCAGATTTTCCCAAATAGCACACTGCATGGCGTATGCCCGTTTTCATTAGCCCAGTCAGAGCAGAATAATAGGACGTTAAACCCCATTTCATTTTATTTCATTGATCGTTTTCCGAAGGTCTGTAAATATGAGTAACGCCCCCTTCTACTGATCTTGACCTTGTAGATTGATCGCGTACATTATTAATTTCCGTCCTAGCCTGGGCTTTTTTACGTATACAAATGAGCTTCGTCGTAGATCCCATATAAAGTATCAATCTGTTTCACAGAGGATTACAAAAGTCTTCTAACACGTGACTTTTCATCACGCGGCGCGATGCGACTTAATGAGCCACAATTAATATTAACTTTTTTCCTCCGACAAATTAAATTCTAAAACATTTTTTTTATGTATTAGAAAAATAAATAAAGACGTTTGACGTATTTGTAGGTAAAAATTATTTCCTATTGAGTGTAAATGGGTATTAAAATGAGTAAAAGGCTCCATTCAGCCCGAACCAGTAAGGTGTTCTGTGAACAATGCACGCGCCATTGAGCCAATGATTGACGCCGCGTGATGAGACGTCACGTGTTGAATGTAGTCATCTTTTACAGAGATATTAGAAGACTTTCGTAATCCCTTGTGAAACAGATTGCATTAAACTGACAAATGTCAAGCAGACTAATTCAAATTCAACTGCTGTTGGGCAATTAGACAATCAGTATCAATTTACAATAAATATAAATCATAAGGAAAAATCAATACACATACCCTTACAACTTAACTGAATAATGTGGTTTATTCATTTATGCACCTCATCTGAATTAAGAATAATTAATTACGATATAGTACTTGGTAATATTTTGGAACATTTACACGTCTTTAAGTTTAAACAAGCTAACATAATCTATACTTGAGGCGTTATTAAAAATGTATTAAGATTATTATACATGATAATATTCTGGAAGACTTATATTCGTTACGAGCAAACACTATAAAATGGGTTATACCTGTGCAATTAACGCTATATTTTACAAAAACACTCAAATTGGAGTACACAGAGACTTTGGTAACGCAAGATACAGTGGAAAATTGACACTTTATTCGGAGGAATGTTTCCCTAAATGCAAATGCAATAAAACACTTGTAGAAGTGTAGCTCACCACATACACCCTTTAGCGGCTACAATTACACCTATCCTCGTATTCAGTACTCATGAATATCGATTACTCTTTTGCAACCCAATAAATGGTGTAAAATTAACACTGTTGTAGGATATATTCCCCATTAATAGTTGCACCCTTTGGTGTAAATGCAGTATAGATTATCCAAAACACCCCACAATTACACCTATCCAGGTGTTCAGTGGTCATGAATATCGGTTACACTTGTTGGGTGTAGCTCTTTTAACTGGTTACCCTTGCAAAAGTGTTACAAGTTAAAAACGCTAGTTGTGGTGTCAAATTTACTCTTAAGTAACACTACGTATAGTTTTTAATTACACCCATTTCTAACAGTGTATAGGTGGTATTGTTTTAGACAGAACTTCCTTGTATCATATAATAACGTGTTTCATTCAAGTGAGGAAACTCTTTTAAACTATTGGTCCTAAATGCTCTAGATTTGGAAAATAGAAGTTTTAAAAAATATTGCTTTATTTCATTTAACACAATATACAAACAGAACAAATTAAATAGTTGGCTATGTTTAAAATATAAACAAGTATACATTATTATATGAAATTATGTTACTTGCAAGTTTATATGTTAGAAAATACCATAAAGCATATCCGTATATATGTTGTTCATGACATGGCAGTCTGTCAACAATTGCTTCACACCTAGAAATGATGCACTGGACCTACACCAATTATCACACATTACAGCGAATCATACCAGAAAGTCGTATTTCAATCACACAGCAGCTTCTTCCAGTGACATGTCCATAACCAAAGCTTGTTTTTTCATACCGTGACGGATTTTCACTACTGGCTTACGTTTTAGTACTGATTCATTTTTACAACGACCATCATCGTAGTCTAGTTCCAAAATCTCCCGAAAATCCTCTAATACTTCTGATGAATCACTGTTCTCCTCAATTTCAGTCACCGAATCCGTTGACGCACTGTTCTGTATATACCCGTTTGGAAGAATGAATGCCGATTCTGAAACAGAACTGTTTGTGCCGTCATTGTCTACAAAATCATTATCACTACTAAATGAACGATTTAAGTGCTTATTACCCAAAACACTGCCGTCTTCGTCTGACAGACTAATAATGTCGCCCGAGGCGCACACCAGTAGGTCAAGTTCTGCCCCTTCGTCGTCAATTTTATCCAAAGAACTCAGTGAACGATAGGATGTTAGACGACCAGAAACATCCTTATCTACATCAACAATACACTTATCATTAATGTCCGAACACATGGTATCCGTATCTGAATCCACTTCATCATAATCGGAATTACCATTGGCATTCATGCCTTTTTCTATATCGTTAATTTCTTTGTTAGCTGCATCAATTATTCGCGGTGCTGCTCTATTTAATACGAGTGTTTCGTTCTTATTCTTCACTGGTTTTATTTTCTGTCTCGTTGGTATTACAGGTCCCCAATCTTCAAAAAGGCTGTTTGTGGAACCCTTCTCGTCTACACCACTGCTAGTCCTAGTGATTTCATCTTTTAACAATCTTCCAGGAAATGTTGCTTTGCTAAGGTTTCCAATATATTCTATATTTATATTGTCCTGATTTGATGCACGCTGGCTTGTATCACAATCTGAATCAGTGGTGTTACCGTCATCTTTCAGCATTATTGAATTCTCAACGGTGCTCTCGTCTTCTGCCATAGATATCGAATTCTCAAAAGTACCGTTTTTATTTTCAACAGATACCTCATTAACGTCAATACTGTCTTCAAAAAGAGAAGAATCTACAGTCACATCCTGGTCTAAAACCGAATCTTGGCTTTCGGTACTAGCAGTGTACGCCGCGGCTTTTTTGATAACAATTTTATCGGAATCTTGTTCCAGCTCATAAGGTGATCCCATATCAACACTGTCATCATCTGGTGTAGCAACGTCTGACAGATTTGAAGCACTTTTCTTTTTCGATTGCACAAGAGCCTCTAATGCTTCTTTAGATTCTCCATTTTCTGGACCCCAATCAAAGTCAAATTCAGATTGGGCATCAACATCCTCTATGTCACTCCCATTATCATATAAAGAAAAGTCGAGTCCATCTAAGGTTGACATTTCGGGTTTAAGGGTAAATGATATTTTGATTGCTTTTGCGTACTTTTCACTTCTGTTACTGCAGAAATCAAATGCTCGTGTATACTCGCTAGTAACTTTAAAATCTACTTCATTTAGAGCTATGGAAAAACGTATTTTTGATTTACATTCGAGTTCTAATGGAATTGGGGACTCGGCGTCAATGGAACACGCCAGAATTGTCTGTTCTGAAAAAATATGATCACACTGAATAGTTCCCGTGAAGGAATAGTTTAAAGCCGGCAAGTCGCCCTGTATATGACGTAATGTTAACGGAAAAATAGAACCACCCGTTTCCATAAGTTGTGTCGTGTTAACCACACCTGGGGCTTCACTGTTAATATCTTTATTCACGTCATAAAACAATCCTCGATGAGAGAAGGGAATGATGTATTCCTCCTCCTTGCTGTCAGTACATCTCAGGTGGTGTTTATCCTTTGCTGCAAAATGATTATGACTAGGAGCATCTAAAGGTCCATTCACAAAACCGTCTTTACGTAAAACATCTCCTGGTTTAAGATAATGATGTTCTAATACCCCACTACTTTCTACGCTGCTCATAATAAACGCAGGTACCCGTGTAGCTGCCAGAAAATAATCACCATCACTTTCAGCTACTTGTTCAACATTGGTGTGACGTGGTAAAGCATCGGACTCACTGTTCACAATACCAAACCAGCCTAAAAAATACAATGAATACACATGCGGTATATAAATGAGGAATACTTGGTAATATTAAAGCCGAAATTAGTAGCCTACACAATTCTTGAACGGTGTATAGTTCGTCATTGGAGTTTTTAATAGTCAATAGATACACCGCCATATTAAGCCATCGTTTGTGAGTGTCTGACTAGTTCGACGAACTTTCGTCTACGTCCCCATTCTTGGAAAGCGAACTTCCGAAGAGAACTGTATTTAGAGAAATAAAACAACTATGGCAGTTGCTTCTTTTAAATCATCATTAGATTAAGGTCTTCCCCGTCCCTTTATTTAGCTCTATAGTCTATAAGGCCATTTAAATTAGTTTGTTGTATCAAATCACATGAAATAAACAACTAAAGAGAAAAATTCGAATTTATACCCAGAAGAGTATTATTTACGTCAGAAAAGTTTCTAGAATTAAACGACCATTAAAGAAGAAATCCCAGATAATTTTTAGTGAATAAAACCGGTCAATTCGTTGTGACGATTTTTTAAAACTTTATTCTAGTCCTAGTATTGCTATTTGAAATAAATATTTTGTCATTTGGTGTACATTTTATTTACGTTAAAATCGTGGACCACTTCGTCAATTCCTTAATGACATAGCCAAATTTACCATAATTCCATTACTTATAATAAAGTACTTATAGAACAATACTATTTTTATTATCATAACCGTAGTCTCCATTGCCCTTGGCTAATGGTGACCTATAAATATAGATAAGTAAACTATTAGTTTAAATGGTATGCTAAAGCCACACCCATTTATATCAATACTTTACAAATGGAAATATAATGGAGATGACCAGCATATATTATCATCTGTACACTGTCGTTATTTACACTACTGCTCTCTTGACTACGGGGGGGGGGGGGGGCGGCGAATGGTTAGTCGTTATTTACACTACTGCTCTCTTGACTACGGGGGGGGGGGGGGCAATGGTTAGCGCGTACGCGCTGGATCACAAGGTCTGTCATTGAGTCATCTGGCGTGGTATCGCTTCCCCGGTTGTACGTGACAAGGAGTAGGGTCCGGTTTTCTCCCACTGCTAAAGACCCCTACGCGCAAGCGAATTATTGAAATAAAATTTAACCATATTATGTTAATCCCGAAATGACCTAGTTTGTGTCGAGTGGACATTAAACCCGATTTCTCTTTCTCTCTGTCTTGACTACACAGGAATAACAAAAAACACTCTCGAAATTTACCCCTGTTATATTTTTAGAAACTATTTCATATCATGTTATGAACTGGGCGTGGGAATCTTATAAAACTAATTTGTAGGATATTTTGCAACGTCACGTGATATGACACGCATGTATATGGAAGGATATCGCTGTCAATATTAAATGCTCTGCTAAATTGCCCTTTCTATTGATTGCGTGTAAAAAGTACAATGTACGAAGTCTTAATACCGGTAATGATAAAGTCAAATTACATGTACCTCTAAGGCCAAGGTTTTGACAAATTGCATTTGACGTTTTACATTTAAATGCAATTTGTCAAATATCAAATGTTTTATTGGAAAATGCTGTTTTTGACGTGTCTACTATTGACATTTCCCGCATCAAGTTTTACAGTTGCGTTCTGCCGCATCTCATTTGTCGTTTACGCTTTCTACATAACATCTTACGCAGAGCACCAGCTTTGATATGCAAATGTAGGATATCACGTGCCTTAACATATACGGAAACGAGGCCAGATCAACCTGGCACACTATAAGCCAGCACACTATAAGATATTTACATTGTCTGCGATATCACCTCGGTGGAAGCTGGCGTTAATTAAAGCTATTTCTCACACACAAGACATTTACCCCACGATATTGAGGCAATCAACATGGCAACCTATAAGAAATTCACGGGACGACCGTGCCTGCAATAAAATCATGTGATTGGTATGTTTAATCTGAGCCTTTGAGAAATAACATAAATTATCAGTATAGTCTATATTTAGCAATTAGGTTATTGTCGGACAGCGACACATTTCTTTCGACAAAACAAAGAGGACTGTGCTTTTCAATGATATATAACATGATATCGTGAATATCGTATTATGGCCCATATTTTGACATTGCATACCCTCCTCCTATCCGTCCGTAAATCATGGTAATATAGTTTAGTACCATTCAAATTTGATCGTTTTTACAAGGTAAGTAAATTTCTTATAGTGTGCCAGGTTGATTTCCCCTTATCGTGTGCTGGCTTTTAGTGTGCCAGTTTGATCTCGGCCTCTTTTCCGTATATGTTAATAAGTCACGTGATATCCTACATTTGCATATCATAGTTAGTGCTCTGCGTAAAATGCTATGTAAAAAGCGTGAAGATCAAATGAAATGCGGCAGAACCCAAACGTAAAATGTAATGAGGGAAATGTAAAATGTAGACTCGCCAAAAAAACAGCCTTTTCCAATCAAACATTTGTTATTTGACACATTACATTTGAAGTTTTACATTTAACTTTGGCCTTACAGGTATTTTGACTTCATCATTACCGGTTTTAGGACATTGTACATTGTACTTTTTACATATAATCAATGGAAAAGACATTTTAGCAGAACATTTAATATTGGCGGCGATATCCTTCCATAAATATGTGATTGGAGGCGTTTATAAAAAAGGCATTTTACCTCATTATATATATGCTCCAATTGCCATGATTTTTCGCATTGTCCATAAAAAGGTGAATTGTATACATGTCGGTATAATTTTCTATAGACAATAAACACCCATTCATCCAAATAAAATGACGCAATTGATCAAAGACGACATAAACATGTGAAATACGGGATAGAAGAACACGGTACCACTCTCTGTATATCTCTGTATTGAATTAATCTAAATACTGTTGTTTAGGCACATTTAATCTGTTTGCTGCTTTCCCATACCCCACATCTTTATACTCAAAACTGCATAGTTTTTACAATGTTTAGGCGGCTATCCGAATAAGGGACGCCGGCCCTGAATTTCGATATAGGCTATTTCATCCTGACGATAAATTTTTTAAACCTCTTTAAATTTCAACAGAGTATAAGTTCGGCTAAAGGGGGTAGCGTTGTGACATCTATTTCGTCACCACGGTTTTAAGATACAGAACCAACCTACTGTGATGTTCTTGTTTACATTTCATTGGGAGTTTATTTCTCCACAGTTTACAGAATTTTCGTTCAACATTAAAATTACTCTACTCTATCCCACCGGTACCCAATAACAGCTGGGTACATACGAATAGAGGAATGAAGTTTCTTTTTCCAGGACACGGAAATTCGACATCAACGACTGCGAATCAGTAATGAAGTGTGCGGTTACAGATCTAGCTTAAATGAATAAAATATTTGTTTATTAAACTAGCTAGCTCGTTAACCGCTGCGCCATTTTCCTCCATTACAAACTGAACAACACCAACAAGTTTATTTTACAAATCTCCCTATCTAAAAATTCTTACGTAGATCTATTAGTAAACATACGAGTCCCTGTAGTTATTTTGATTAAAACATTTTCATCTAGGTTGTTCCATCAGATTTGGTTTTATTTTCAAGACTGTCATACACGAATCATTTCGGACTGAATGGAAAAGGGGGTTTTATACAGATCTTTCACATGTTATTTTAACAAGTGAATGTAGGTCAGTATTTCCACAATAAATCTTGTTCTTATTCTTTACATTTCAATTACGCCCTCTACAGTCCATCTTTGTACTAAACTAACCTTATAGGTTAAGTGTGACTAACCGTATGAAAACATCGAACCGTCTTAAGAAATTCTACTTCTCCTTTCAAAATATATTTATATAAGATAAAAGGCTTTTCATTACAAAGGATGCTCAAAAGAATGGTATCTTATTTCTGTATCACGAAACAGAGCACGCTAAAGCAGCTCGACCAACGTCATAAAAATACACACTGACTTACCTTCATAATCCTCTGGTATAACTAATGGGGGTCCAAATTCAATATACTCCGATTGTGTTTTATCTGGTCGAACTGTTCTAGCATATATCTTACTCACTGATCTTACAGTATATAAAAGTAATGGCTGTTTTAGATCAAAATGAAACTTTGACCAAAGAACTGAACAGGAATCTGCCGAACACTGGACAACACAGGGCAGTTTGAATTTAGAAATTATTTCCCGCAGAGTATAAGACTGAGTACTCCACTGAAAATCCACATTGGCTATCGATTCACTTCTCTGTATTGTTGGAGTTAGTTTTTTTGACAGTCCCATTCTGACGGGTGAATTGATTGACAAATTTATAAACAACACACTACATTTGAATTTAGATCGTTATGACATCAGCTGGAAAGACAAAATATTATCCACCATCCACACAACATCAGCCACCTAGAAATTGTTCATCCATAACATTGAAAATTGTTGACTTCAGATCCAACTGGCCTCTTCTGTATTAGAAGTGAGATACAGACGACGCATCAAACCGTATAACCCAAATCTTCTTCATCTTATTTATTAAAGCCAGGTATATCCACCTCACTATATTGCACGCAAAGATTGTTAAAACCGCCTGTAGGGCATAAGCCTAGATTATACCCTTTGCGTTCCGCTTCGTGAAACACCTCGAAATAGAGGTAGAGAAGACTTTATTGTCATGTTAATATGACCGAAGGAATGTAATGTATATAATATAATATATAGATATACATAAGTAATAGGAGATGACGACACTAATGTATACATAATCAAATATGGTGCACACAGTGGCGTTTGTGGGTCATCTTACCTACACTGAGAAAAAAAAAATTGTAAATACATTGTACGTGGTTCGAACAATAGAATTCAGTATTCTAGATACAAGACTTAAAAATTATGATATAGGGTGACGGTTTGATTAATGATAATGGACTAAAATTGAACACGCATTTTTGCTTGACGCTATTAGCAGTCTTAGGTTGGGCCAATGTCGGCAATGGTTGGCCAGCGAAGGTGTCTTTGTTTGCTGTCTTTTTGGGGCAAATTCCGGAACCAGAAGTGCGATAGGTCTGAAACTTGAGGCCGTGGCCCAGAACGGTCCCACAAACTGAGCCGCATAGTTCAAAGCCCCCAACCTCCGTCCCTTGGGGCTCCAGTGCCCCCTATGGTCCTATTTCAATCATTATTTTTTCTAATTTTTTTCTATCTTCCCCGAAACAAGTCCTCGCGGCTACCCCCACTAAATCGACCCTTGTGCGTCACGTGGTGCCCTTGAAATCTTCTGCGGAGGCCGGAAGTTGGTCATAATGGTGATTTGACCTTGACCTCTGATTGTCAAACCAAGGTCACCACGAGACTCCCAGGGGTCAATTTAGTTTAATAGGCCGCGACCTCAAGGTGGTCGGATCCGGTTTCGGATGGGCGAGTTATCTGCCCTTAGACCACATCGCTTCAATGCTCAGCTATTTGACTTTGTAGGGAAATTTTCCCAAAAAATGTCTTCCGATCACCCCAGGATTTGGCGACCCGATAGACCGACCCCACATTTGTTCTTCATTTTTTAAAATCGCCAACCGAAAGTCGTTACCTAGACCCACTAGGGGCCCCGGAAGTATTTTGGTTTTTAACCCCTAGGGCCCATCTAATAAAGTCAGGACCACTGGATCTTTACCTTTGGACATGTCAACTTATCCCACGTGACCCCGGTAGGTCAAGGTCACCAAAATATCTACTGACTCGGGTGCTCCCGGGCACATGGGACCCCAGGTCCTCGCGGCAAATCAAAGGTCATGACCTTGGATGGGCAATTCACTGACCTTTCGAATGGGACCTTGACCTTTGACCTGACCCTTGACCTTGGGATCGAAAAAGTCCCAAAACTTCATGTACCACCCAGACTTTCGCCAATAAATGTTAAGGCAATTTAGGTAAAAAGTCACATTCAAAATCCCCAGACTATCAAAAAAGAAAATGAAAGCGGAACTTTCAAAATGTTATTTGGAAGAAAATATTTTGCTTTCTTGTCAGTAAAATAAAGGGTCCGAAATTCGATGACTTTTAAGTATAATAAAACATTTTCATTTTCTTGTCATTGAACACGGTAAATTTGTACTGCATTGATTGCGGATTAAAACACTTCGTCAGGTCCCACTCGGCGGTGTGCGACATCGATCATTTATTTGTTTAATAATTTTCCGGGAATCATAGGCGTACGAGCTAGGGGGGAAGGGGGGGGGGCAGTTGCCCCCCTAACTTTCGGGCAAGCTGACTTTTCGGGCAGACGGGTAAAGTGAAAAAAAAATTGTTATTTCATCTACTTGGCAAAATAAAGTGCCCGAAATCTAATAAAACACTAATTTTACGGGCTGGAATAGCAGTAAAACGCGTTTGCGGCCGTCAAATATTCCAAAATTTTCTTCGGGGGTCCATACAAGGTCAGTTCAACTTCTTCACCTCTCGAAGAAAACCGGAGCCGCTGTCTGTAACCCTGAAATTTTTTCGGGCATTTCTAGTTTTTCTTCCCTAACTGTCATTGAGCCCTAATAAAACACTAATTTTACTTTTCTTTTAATTGAATACCACAAATTTGTACTGAGTTGACTATGGATTAAAAAAATTTTGTCTGGAGCCACTCTACTTTGTGCGACATTTTTCGAGCATCGATTATTATTTGTGAATGCAGCTGCAACGGTCTGATTGGATGGTTGGAATTCAGAATGGGATTTCGGTTACAAAACCATTGGATACTTTTAGAGTTGCTTACACGGGCTAGAATAGCAGAAAACGCATTTGCGGTGGTTAGATTTTCAAAATTTTGTCGGGGAGGGTGAGGCCCCGAGGGTAAGGCCCCCCATACCCCGCGACGATTGATTGGTTGTTTGGAATTCGTGTCAGCCAAGAAGGCTATATTGGACCAAATTGAAGTTGCTGTATTCACAGACTGGAATAGCAGGAAAACGCGTATGCGGCTGTTAAATTTTCAATTTTTTCTCCAAACGGTCCTGTCTCCGTGGACTGTAAACGATTGATCCTTTGATTGGAATTCGAGTCAGCCATCTTAATTAGGCTATATTAGTAGACCACTTTGAAGTTGCTTTGTTCACGGGCTGAAATCGCAGGAAACTATGTTTGCAGCCGTCAAATATTCAAAAATTTTCTTGGGGGTGGGGGGGGGGGGGCAATACAAGGGGAGCTCTGCTTCTTCGCCTCTCGACAAATATCGGCGTCGCTGTCTGTACACCCGAAATTTTTTCGGGCATTTCGGGTTCTGCCCCCCTAACTGTCATCGAGCCCGTACGCCTATGCCGGGAATCATAATTTCTTTTAATGCATTAAAGTTATTAATGTAATAAACAGGCGATACTGGCCTATTTCCATGCTGCTGAACACACGGATTTGGAAAGCAAGAAAAGGCGTTTGCGTCCGTCAAGTATTATACAAAACGTATAATGGACTATCAACGAGATGCCTCTTCCGCGCCTAAATGTCACGGTTTTTACATCCGGTGTTTTTCAATTGAAATAATAACACAAAGCACAGAAAATGGTGAGTAGTATACTGCGTTGCAGTGCGGCGTTTGCTACACACATTCAGTGCATAATACGGGCCTAAAACAGGAATTACAATGCGCTTATCTATAGAAATTGACGTATGATCTCGGGTACAGTTTTACTGGTTAACGACGTAGATCGAGATTTAATAACACAATACAATTAAGGCTTATTGTAAAACAACAGTGAAATTCAGTGAAAATTTTGCTCAATCTCACTGAAATGACCAAATTCCAATGAAATCTCACCAAAATTTCACTGAAATAAAAATATATTTTGGTCTATTACTGAAATATCACTGAAATTAAAAGTTTTTTTGGTCTACTGAAATTTCACTGAAATTACAAAACATAAAAATGACATTTTTTCATTGCAAATATTTTAATAACGGCATACATGGATTTTACAAAGAATTACAGTTTGTAAGTTGTGGAAGAGAGCATTTTGAAATTATGATAGTGTCTGAAGATGAAATGTTTTTAATTTCCATGTTTTTTTTTTCTTTGTATATGTTGAGCGCAGATTACCCTCCTCGGACAGATTACCCCCGCGCATGCGCTAATCTGCGTCTAATTTCCGAAGTGAACTTTGTCCGGACTATAAATTTAATGGATACCGCGATATCACTTAGGTGGAAGCGGACGTTAAATAAAGCTATTTCACACACATGATAATCCGCCTAATCTTACTCGGTATTCACCATGGATCAGTGTGTTAGTATTTGTCATTTTAATGATTACATTTTAATGAATTTTGTGACCGTCAGTTTACTGGTACAAGTACGAGAAAATTGATACGGAAAGAAAAGTATGACCGCATAGGTGACTACCTGAAAAGAAGAAGTAGTAGAACTAGAAGGGCTTTGAGTTATAAAGCAATTTCCGTCGATAGGTCTACGGTAAGATTACCAAGTTACGAATCTATTTTATCTGTTCACTGATCGTTTCCGACGTGAAACTGAAAGAAGAAGGTAGCCTAAATCAAAAGAAAATGCCTGGAATCGAGTGAATTATTGAATATAGTAGATTATCCAGTATTTTCATTCATTCACTCCAGGGAAACTGATAAGTGATATGGCATTAATTTCTAGTACCTAGTGCAAGGGGGCTTTTGAAATTTGCGATTTTTCCGTAGACAATTTCGGCCATTAATATGGATGAGCTATCTTGTCTTGCAACAGATTTTTATTCATTTTGATACAATAATAGGACACATATCTTGTGTCATCTAACTAGTCTAGGCTATAGTAATCCATTTTTTCTTGCACTAATAATAATAGTAATATTACTTATTAGTAACTACTCATAAGGAATAGCCAAAAATTGTATTTTAATCCCATACTCATAATACTATTATGAGGGTAACCCTAACCCAACCCTAACCCTAACCCTAATAGCAGACTAAGGCTTGCTTATGTTATTATTGGCATTTTAAATCACCTGAATAAAACCAATCAGACTGAAAAATGAAAGAACAAAAGATTAATTTTTATTCACCTGGCTAAAATATGTCTGACATTAGTGACAACGAATAGACTATTATTAGGTCCTATTTTTTTATCTTCACATTCATATTAACCTAGTAGTACTAGTAGGCCTATTTATATGAGCCCCTTTAACCTTGCAAAATCATTGACATTGAATTCTTAGAATGAAAATGAAAGGATAGTGTGCTCATTTGTTGGCAATAATAATAATGATTGAAATGGAAGATAGCAGGATAAAAAAATGTCCCTTCTCAGCCATCATTGACGAGTTTACCACAGCAGTGAAAATTTAACCAGACCCTGTTTCACAGATTATAATTTCAAGACCTAGGAATGAAAACAGAAATTTATAAATTAGCCTGTGATGGCTAATTTTAACGGGAGCAGGTCGTTTCATCCCACTACCGGTTCATCTTGGGCTGTTTCATCCCAATTTTACACAGGTCCTTTCATCCCACTTATAGCGGGTCCTTTCATCCCACAAATTTAAAAACAGGTATTACTTGAATTTTAATATTTAATTTATACATTATTACCAATAACAATTAGTGTTGTCACGATTAAAAAATTC